AAAAATGTTTTGAAAAATCCAACATTTAGTTTGAGTAAATTTATTCAGTAAGGAAAAAAGTTCAAAGTTAAGATAGTTCTTGTTGAAAAACCGCTCAAATTTATCTTGCTACCCTTGCAAGTGGGCGGTGGACCTTTTCTCTAGCAGACACTGGAGACATAGGAGAGAATGGAATCCATTCAATAAAACAACAGAAATATGTAAAACTAGCTTCATATGGAGACTTTCCCAAATTGGAAGTCAGACAGATCATTACAGTGTTTATAACAGCACCAGTATATACAGCTTTCCGATTTATATTCAATCACATTTACAAATGTGATTGTATTTATAGACCAAGCTCAGAATGGTAAGTGCCTTGCCCAAGAGCACATGTGATGTGACAGGAGGAAGCTAAAATCAAACCTACAACCTGAATGAAGACCCAAGTTTAAGTTTGCACTTCAGGTCACCAACTGAAATAGGAAACCATTTACTCCTATACAATTCGTTTTGATTCTCATCTCCCGTCACTTTCCCATCTGGGATTTCACTCATTGAGTTGGATTTCTCCAGTAGAATTTTTAACTGAGCTAATTATTAAAAGTGAGCAGAAGTTTTGAACAATGACATCGATTTTCCAAGCTGTTTTTATCATTTTAGTCTGGGAATGTCAGAAAATGAACGAAGCCTTTCAGTCCACGTTGGCCACACTTCCAAATTAGATTAGCAGCCATTTTGTTCGGTCCAACACTTCTCTCTTCGCAGTGGAGGACGGTTGTCCTCGCCCCTAGTGTATGCATGTGTGTATGATTTTTAAAGGTTGAGGCTGGAGGCAGCGTTTTGGAGCCCCACAGCCCTGGTGTCAGATTGAGCTATTAAGCAACAAACAGTCCAGATGGGTTTTGATTCCAGTTCACTTCCTGCTTTAAGGAATCTCCTCTGTTCATAATGCTGTCTGACATCACAGGTGACATTACTGACTCAGAGATGTCCCACTTCCACCCACTCCAGGGATGCCCAAACTCTACCTGCAGCTGCATGAACAATCCTGGAAAAACATGAGTCAGTCTGTTTTAACACGCGGGTGCAACAAAGCTGGACCGCTCCCTCATATTTGTCACCATGGAACCGAAACATGTTCCCTGTCTCGCTGTGGGACGTGAAACTTAACTCAGCCGTGGAGAAACGGATGGCCGGTTTGTTCCCTGAGCCTGCAGCTCACAAATCAGATGAACTGTTGTGACAATGACTGTTGATTAACCTCGTTTTATTTCAGTTGGCCTGAAACCGGCGGATGAAGAGAAGAGGGTGAGTGATGTTGAGCGAACTCAGGGGGAAACAATGAATCATAACATGGAGCTCCCTGTATCGATGTAAAAAATGCCATTAAAATGCAAATACATGCACACTCCAGTTGTAAAGAGGCTGTCAGATTTGAAACAGGTTGTCAGAAATTATCCATATGATAATTATTTTTACTTTTCTAATATTCACTGAAAAGGAAAGAACAGAAAAGAAAGGATAAGGAAAGAAAAGAGGAGTTTTTATTGAAGCACCTTTGCTCTGTAGTTTGGAGATGCTAAAACCTGACATGCTGGTAGCAGCATCAAGCTGGAGGGGTAACTGGGAAGTTGGCCAAAGTTAAACCAAACGCAGGACAATGCTAGAAGAAAAGCTTAAACTGCAACAGACTTGAAACTGTGGCTTAGAGTCGATGTTCCAGCAGAGAAGAATGCATATCCACTTAATATCTCATTCAGTCAGCTTTCATTTCAGTATCTTTACTGTCATCAAGGTTATAATTTGTAGTTTCAACACTTTTAATTACCAATTTGTAGCCACCCAACAGTGCAGATGATCTAAACAGAATTTATTTCAGTGTTCAACCTGTTATGATAAAGCAGGCATTAATATGGGCGAGGGGTGGAAGGCTGATTTCACCTTGAAATGAGGCACCCAGGGCGTGCCAGATTTCTGCTGAAGGACTTTGAGAATGGTGGTGATAACTCCTGCTTATCTGAGCTGAAAGGACACGCGTAAAAGAGTGAAAGAAGCCAATTATCTGCTCCACATTGAAGGAGCAGTAATTATCCAATCTGTGCTGAATGGTGACAGAAGGAGGTAATGTAATTATAAAAAGCATGGCTCTTTGCCATTAAGGCTTCAGATGCAAGCAGTTTCTTTGCATTCCAAACATCAGTGCAAACATCACTCACACAGAAAGTGCAAAGAGGCTGCAGATGCATCGAGATGGTGGGCTTACAATTTTATATAAAAATAAAGAGAAGCAAAAGCTGGTAAAGAAATAATATTCTTGCACTGAAAAAAAAGTTTTCCAGTGTCTGTGTGTGTGTTTGTCATCACGACCAGATCTTTTGTAGAAAGAGAACAAGAAGCAACAAAAAAAATCTGACTCAGAGAGCGTCGTCGAGCAAAAACAGCATGTCGAGGCTTGACTGTGTTCTTCGGGTATTTGGGTTAGGCAACAAAAAAAAGAAAAAAAAAAAAGGAAGCCAGGAGTATTGTCCTGTGATACAAACTCAACTCTGTACAGACAAACAACAGTAACATATTCTCCGGTTACTGATTATCCTGTACAGGAGTAGAGAAGCTAAATGCTATCTGTCAGCAAGTCAGTTCCAGAAACTCACTCATCCCATCACTCATTTATCACACACTTTGTTAACTGCAGCATAAAACCACAATGTGTCACTTACTGATGTATAAATATGGCTTCTGCCCTGATCAGGCCTCTAGAGCTTTGTTCTAAAACAACAACAACAGCAGGGGGTGCCAGATATCTGAGGGCAGCACTTTGATGAATACGGGTTTTTGATCAGGCCATGCCCTTTACTGCCATAAGAGAAACTGTGCACTGAAAACGTTGTGCTGCGAAATTTATCACATGACTCTAAGACAGCATGCAGATATTCACTAAATCCCCTTCATAGCCTTGAAACCAAAAAGCTCAGGAACAGAGCAGCTGACAGTTTGAAGGTGTTAGAAAACAGTACTTAGATGCTTTCCATAACTTTCTAAGATTTCACCTGCAAATGTAAAATCAATCAATTAATGTTTACTTTTAAATAAATGAATGAACAAATAAATAAATACAACAATAAAAAAATCAAACATCCTGAGCAAAAACAAACTGTCATTCTGAAAAGATCAAATTCACATGATCAAACATGCAAGAGTTAAAAGAAAGATATCTATGCATTATAATAATAATTATTATTATTATCATACAAATTATTATTATTAAAAACTAGACTAGACAATCGTTCAGCAATACTGATAGCTTAGTATAAATTCTCAACAAAAATAAATGAACTGTTAAATATAAGCATAGATCAAAATAAAATAATAAAACTGTATTACTGTCATAACTCACCATGTGAAAAGTCAGAAAATTACAAATTTAAACTTATATAAACTTAAGAAACATGAAGATAAATAAAATAAGGCAAAAAAAACTAAATCGAAGTCAAATTAAAAATTTATTATGCAGAAAGAATATTTCAAAATCAGAGACTGAACCACAAGTTTTAGTTTTTCATATTATAATATAGATACCTGCCGAGTTCATGTATTAAAGGTTTTATGGTAACCATCACAATATTATCAAGTAAAATTAAACTTCTTTTAAGTAGTAATAAAATGTTGAGTCAAGAATTAAATATTCATTAACTTTGGGAAAAAGTTTGTCATCTTACGAGCCAAAACGTCAACAGAATTCAAAGAGTGAATTTAGCAACATTTCTGGATATTTCTCAGGAGAGCAGACTGATTGGGTAAGAGGATTAGATCAGCTGGTACTTTTATCTTTTTTTTGTGATTATTTATCAATAGAGAATCTGTGCTCTGTGAGATAATATGCTGAGGATTCACACTGAACAAAGTTCCTGCATTAGAGAGCAACAGCACAGGTGCATCTCAGTAACGAATCTGCTGCACCATTTGGAGGAAGAACTGGCAAATACCTGATAGCGTCATTTCCGGAGGAGGTAATGAAGTAAAGAGGACTTCTTATACAGAAATGTTATGTTATGGCACTCATGGAAAAGCTTGCTGACTTGACAGTTGCCCACCAACACAGTTCCTTACACTCACCACAAAAAACTACACCACAAAAATAAAGAGTGCTTTAATACACATGGCAAGTTCTGAGGAAAAAAAGTAGAGAAGCAGAGAAAAGGTGTGCAAGAAACATGGATAACTGCAATGTAAGCCACAAAACAGACTGTTTCTCAACAGCTGAATCAAAGCTGACTGATGGAAAGTTAAGTGGAAGAAAAGAGCATGATAAATAAAAATGAACAAACCACAAAGTCAATCACAGTCCGTCAGAAACTGTCAAGAAAAGTAATTTCAAGAGATCTGTGGGGAATTGAATGGAAAGAAACAACATCACATATGAAGGTCAGTATTAAAGCAAACTGGACTTCCTGGACATATCAGCAGAACCACACTGAGGGAAAACGCTGCACAGCACATGGACAATACAGTTCAGTACTTGTTTTCTATTTTAAATTATTGATCTGCTCTTTGATTATATTTTAACAATCTTAGAAAGTTGATTTTAGGTTTTCATTTATGTATAACCCCCCCCCGCCCCCCCACCACCACCAAATTATGAACTAAACACATAAAATATATCACTCTGTCAATATGTAACCACAATTTTAGAAGATTTTAGCAAATTTATGGACACGTAAAGAATTTTTTATGTACCTGGTAGTTTTTAATAAATCAACATGGAAACAGGGTTAAGATTTTTTTTTTCGCAATAATTCCGCTGCTCATGTACTGCTGTTGTGCGTCATCTGCTCACAGGCCGCAGATCTGCGCCGTTCTTTCTCACGCAGATTCCTCAGCCTGAACGCAGCGTGATTATGAAGGCAGTTATGAAGTTATGCAGGTAGGCGGGGGTGATAGGTCCCGGAGGGAGGGGTCCTGCGCCCGGCGGGGCTTGACAGCTCCGCACTATTGGCTGACACTAGAGGGGGGAACTCTACCTGTTACCTGAGAGAAGGAGTGCCATTCGTCATCATCCGATTCCAAATCAGGATCAAGTTTTCCTTCCTCCAGCAGTCCGGAGAGGTAGAAGTCGGCCAGGACCGCGGGGAGCTGAACCAGCGACTGGAGCAGGACTCCGAGCATGGAGCCTATCGCGGCGTGGAGCGAGCAGAGAGTCACCGAGTGGCTCCAAGGTGAGGGACATGCCCGCTTCTTCTTTTTTAAACACTTGATCCCCTCGCAGGTACTTTGGTTCGGGGCGGTTACGTCGAAAATAGAAGCAGCACGCAAATCCTATTGGAAGTGAAAGGTGGAGGTGGAATGAGGAAGTGAGAGAGAGAAGCCACAACAGTGCAGCTCTGATCAGTGTCAACAACTGAACGTTTCAACCGGGTAAACAATGGCCTTCTGTTGTTTTCCTGCTTATTTTGTTTGATACACTGAAACTAAACAAAGTTCTGCAAAAGGAAAAAGGGGAAAAATGAAGGAGAAGAGATTTAACCACAAAGCTCAGCCTGGATTAATGCTTTCCAACACAGTTGCAACACAGCAGAGTCCTCTGCTGCTCTATCACGCTTTGTAGAAAAGTTCTATGTTCACAACAAAAGTTTTTCTGAGCATTTTCAAATAAATGCGTCAGCCGTATTCGTTTATTTTAAAAAAATATACATTTTGGTTTTACTTCAACTTGAGCAAAAATGGGAATTGAAAATAATTTCTGCACTTTTCCGCTGTTATTTTGACAATTCACCTTTTGAGATGAACTCCAACTCTTTGAGGCTGGAAGCCCTCCGTGTCATCACCCTAAGCTTTACCTCCCTAAACAGATGTTGTCATCACTCCCAGTCAGAGGAAACATGCTGCCAAAATTAGGAGATTACTGGTGGAAAAAAATCTGTGCTTTTTGGCTCAGCTCTTTCTTCTTTGTAAAAAAATTAAAAACAATAAACTTCAAGTGATTCACAGAAAACGCAAGTTAGTCAAAAAGTCAAAGCACAATTTGTTTTAAATGACCTCTAGCACACAAGTGATTGTTGAATGATTTTTTTTTTCTAAAATGTTGCAGATGTGTTTGGGCCGGATGTTCCAGAGTTCAGGTAGCTCCTGGGAAGCCCATTCAGCTCCCTATTTTAATCTGGGTACATCCAGGAGGATCTGCTCACCTCACCTTACTGACCTCCCTGTGGGGGGCAGAATTAGGAGCTCTCTGTCCGTTTAACACATTAAAAAAACTGTAAAATCTTGAAAGTCAATTTAAAATAGAAAGGGAGCCAGAGGAGAAGCTAAAACCTAAAACCGTCATGATGAAATTATTACATATACCTATTAGATGTCATGATGCAGCATTTTCAACCATTTGGAAAGAATTAAAAATTGTTAATGACAAATATAACACAAATATTATATCAGTTTATATTTAGTTAGTTTGAGAGGACTGGGTGACATCTGCTCTTTTTCTTTTTAGCTTGTAGCTGTAACTATGCCATCAGAAAATAAAGTGGACCATGGACGAACCCCTGGGGGATCCCACAAGTTAGGAGTGTAATAAGAGTATGAACAAGAATGACTCAGCATGTTGCAAAACACCAATATGTATTGAAAGATACAATTTCAATACATATTGGTGAAAAAATATATCTAATTATTCAACTGAGTTGATTTAAACTCAGTTTAAATGAAGCAGCTAACTTTATTTAAACTTTAAACATATTCAATAATGCTACACTTCCGTAAATCAAAACTCAAGTCAAGTTAATTAAATCCTCCAGTGTTTTTTTTTTTAAATAGTGCGTGATTTTGCATTTATTTTTTTGCTGTTCATTTCATATATTGTATGTGAAAACCCAGCTTTGCTTTCAATGTGACTTTTTCAGTCCTAACCTCGGTACAGAAACCAGAGCGAGAGGCATTTGTCATGCTGGTACATGCATGAGATTTCCTGACACTGGAGAATTTCCATTTATGTCCTGGATCCGTTTGTAGTAAAAAGTAAAAAGCTTTCATGACTTCCAGGACTGGATGCTCCCGTTGATCAGTACCAGGTGTCGGAGTGGCACCTGTCGGGTCTGGACCTGCTCCAGTTGACGTCCCAGGACCTGGAGGCGCTGGGAGTTCAGAAGATCGGACACCAGGAGCTGATTCTGGAGGCTGTGGAGAAACTCTGCTCCCTGGTGAGTGAGAATACACACCGGCGTGTGTGTGTGTGTGTGTGTGTGTGTGTGTGTGTGTGTGTGTGTGTGTGTGTGTGTGTGTGTGTGTGTGTGTGTGTGTGTGTGTGTGTGTGTGTGTGTGTGTGTGTGTGTGTGTGTGTGTGTTTGTTTACAGTGCATATCTGCAGCAGCATCATCTGTCTCCGGTGTGTGAAGTGAGCAGGATATTACCTGAGTGGTCATATCCATGTTTGGTGAGGGTGTTGTATATTTTGTGACATGACAGCATGCTGATTTCCATCTCTGTAATGTTTTCAGATCCTGCTGTTGTTTACACTGTCGTACCAGGAACTGTAGGATAATCTCTTAGAAATCTGGCCAGCACACCCAGAACCACAGAACCTCCTGACATCTTGGCCTTGCCTCAGTGAAATATGTGATGTTTTTACTCAGTGTGATTTCTTAGTACTTCGATCTGACATTCCAGCTCCAGCTTTTCAAGCACTTTGTAGTAAAAACATTAACTGTATTATTCATGCCAACATCAGATAAGCACTTATGCTGAATCGTTTGCCAAAGCATAGCTAGAGAACTGCTGTGTGTCCTGGACAATATGTGGGAATAGTTTTTGTGCCTTTTGCATGATTTACTGCATCAGTGCAGCATGGCCTGGAGGTGGTGAGTGTGTGGCTCTGATGAAGTGTTGATGAAACCCATTGTGCTTTACAAACAGCCTCTACATTGTTGACTTGGTCAAACATGTAAAAAAAACTTTCAAATGGTTCAGAAAGTGCAATTAGGAATTCTAAGTATAATATAAAATATATAATAAAGCTTGTTGTCGTTCAGAGCACAAAGCATAGAAGTGAAATAATAGATCTGCTCTCAGAGATCGGTTATATTGTCATCAATACCCAATCTATTCTTTGTAGATACAGATATTAATATTGGATCAGTATATATCTATGAACTAATTACTGAATCAAATTACATTTTCAATTATATTCCAATTTAATCCAATATATGCACAATGAGCCACATTCACTCTTCCTTTGAATCTTTATCTTTTTTCTTTATCTTGCTGCATAAATACAATCTTTAGGAAATTTGGATGGAGGCTTAACAAATGAGCTGTTTTGTGGGGAGAATTGTGGTCTTCCATAACAGTCTTTGCTTCAGTCTAACCTCTGATTCAGCAGCTCTGGTGACGTAACCGCCTGTAAACATCAGACTAAGATGGCTTAAACTCCTTGTTGCTGAGTTCTTTAATTAACTGTGATACAGACTGAACCTGTAAGCCTGGAATCTGTGAATGAGGAAAGCTGCTCCTCTAGTAATTTCTTTTTTTCCCCCCCTCAAACAGACCTTGTGTGTGGGTGCTTGTGTCTGTCGTGATGCTCCATGAAGCTCTTAACACTGCGCTCATTCATAAAACCTCCCCATCAGATGCTCACATGGCACAGACAGAAACACTTTCAAGTGCACAGCTACATAATTAACAGCTCCATAAAAGATTCATGGCCACTTGTTGACCAGCTTGTACTGGTGGCTGGATGATGTGTACCAACAAAGCCTGACCAGTATGAAGCACTTGACCCCGAGATGAGTGGCCTGTAACAATCAAACACTCTGTTTTAGCAGCTCTCAAGAGCCATGTTTCATGATGGGATGCAGAAAAATGGAGCGACATTCAAACGAATAAAGGCTGTTGTCTTTCTGAAAGACTTTGATTTGATAACAGGGATAATATAAAGTCTGAACTTATGTTTGAATGATATTTTACTAGATATAAATCAGTCCTGGGTTCTGACCTGGGGATTTTCTGGATGGTCTTGCTGTGCATGCAAGGATCCTCCCCTGGTACTCTGACTTCCTCCCACAGTATGAAAACATGATTGTTAGGTTAACTGGCCTGTGCCTGCAGGTGTGAGTGTGTGCATTTGTTATTGTTTGTCCTGTGTGATGCCTTGTGATGGGCCTGTGATCTGTCGCCTGTTTTGCATTAGCTGGGGGCAAAAGAATATTTATCAACACCACCATTGTTATCACAAACATCTTTCTGGAAGAAATATGAACATTTAAGAGGCGGTGGAATCCCACCACAATCTGATCCAGAATCTGTGGAGGGAGATAAAGATTAAGGTGATGGAGATGAGGCCTTCCTTTTGCAAAGCTCATTACCAAAGATAAACCATCAAAATATCACTGGACACATGCAAACTGTTGACAGTTATAGGAGCAGTTTATTATTCAAATACCAATAAGTAATTTTTGAGAGTTGTATAGATAATTTATTTTATGATATTTAAAAAAAATTACAAGCAAAGATTTTGTATTTATTTGTAGTAAATGAGAAAATGGTCAAAATAATGAAAAAGATGCAAACATTGCAAAGAAAACAAGTTTATATTCATTTAGAAACAACAATACTAAAGTTTTAACCCAGGAAAAGTTCAGAAATCAATATTTGGTGGAAGAACTACGAGGTTTTAACCCTTTACATTGATAAATTGATTTATAGCATCTTAACTTTCTTTATTTCAGAATTTCTCTGTTGCTCAAAAGTTACTGAACTGTCCTTTGTAGCTCATTGCTGAGGTTTTCAGTGTTGTATGCAGTTGCATAAAAGCTGCAATATGAAAATGTTTGTTGGACTGAAATGCGGAATAATACTCTGATATTTAAGCTTTCTGTGGATTTATTCAAACCAGACAGCAGAAAAGACACAGGAAATGAGGAAAAGTTGGGAGATTTGTTTTCCACATATGGAACTTGGCCTGAAACAAACCACAGCGCATGAAAATGTGACCCAAAAAAACAATTACTGTCCTCTTCTGGAGGGGCTGATGACAGCAGGGGGTAGAACGTCCTGCCCGGTTGTTACGTGTGTGTGTTTTTGTGTGTGTTGTCTTCAGACTTATGGCATGGGAGGAGAGACCCTGCGCGGTCTGACAGAAAAGCTGCGTGTCGTTGCCCACTCCCTAACGATGGCCATCCAGGGCAGCTGGCGCGACAACAACTACGACGGACGGAGCGCCACCAAGCTGTCAGCTGGCGCTCTGAAGAACGTCATAGAGCTCATCACTTCAGCCAGGGGCCTCTTCTGCTTGCTCAACAGGTTTGTAAAGTGGACGTCCTGAGTGCAACATTGTGAAAGGTGTTTTATTTAACTTAGATCAATGTGTTGGTTGTGGATTAAACGATTTAGCAGAGTTACCTCAGTGGGATTCTCCCCTCAGTTTAATTCTGACTGAATGTTTTTGCTTAAAATACTTTGTTTCCTCTCGCTCCCAATCTGTCTGAACTGATTTACATCATAATCTGTTTTTTCCAGATATCAGTTATCCCAGCTCAGCAGATACACCTCAACTCAGAGCATATTCACCCATTGTAAAAGTCTCGGAGACATCGTCCACAAGGTGGGTGTGTTCCTGTGTTTCCCACATCAGTTCAGCTCAAATCAGATATTTCCAAATCCTTCCGTACAAAATTCAAAGCTAAAAAGACAAAACTCTACTGTGTGCTTGAGGCTGGCAGACTTTTACAGCGAGTTTGTTCCTAAACCCTCCATCAGTTTTATCTTAAAAGGAACTGCTACGTTTTCAGTCGTAATGTCACGCATGATAAATATCCAAAGAGGAACCACAATCGGTTGGGTGTGCGCCAGTTTGCTTTTTAATTCTCCCAATTAGACTAAACGAGAAAAACAGAAGCACATGCAGGAACAGACGGGTATGCATGACTTTACTTTTGTAGTTTTAGTTTTTTTTTCATCTGTAAATTCCTGACATATTTGAAGGGAGGTTGCACCTCCATGAAGCTTTGGTAAGAAAATAAAGACATTTAGATGTGTTTGGTTTTGTTTCCTCCATTGTGGAGTTGTGAAATGCTTGAAGGAAACAGGTGAGGAAGGAATAATCATAAGAGGGTTCATGAGAAGAGGGTGGAAAGTGCTTAGTGGTTGTTGTAGCAAACAGGACAGGCCTGGATATGTAATGCTGGCCGCCGGAGGGAGGGAGTCAGAGAGCAAGGGAGGAGACTGAGAGAGGGATTGCACTGCCTCTATCAATGACTTCAAGCTCTTAGGGGAGTGAACACCAAACACCGAGCAACAGGCAGCGAGAGGCTGTATTCTCAGAACTACAACAGGAAAGGAAAAACAAGCTGACGGAGGTGAAGGAGAGAAGAAAACAGACAAGACAAAACCTGAAAGAGAGTCTGGAGCTGAGATACGGTTTTTAGAGGACTTTAAATATATCCGGCTCTGGAAACCTGCCCAGCATGGCAGGTACTGTTCTCACCACTCTGATTGGATAATTCGACACAAGGTGATCCTTCCTTTTCTGCTTTTTGATGCAACACTTGTTTTCTGTGTCATTAAGTTTAAAGAGAAGTGATTTTAAATAAGAAACTGTATCTCTGAAAATGACAAACGAGCTGCTGTCTGTGTGGCAGAAGCATTGGCTCTGAGCTGCGGGGGTTGATCAGATCAGAAGTTAAACTCTGTCGGTGTGTTTTAACTGTGAAAATATCCTAACGAACCTTAAGAAACAACAAGAATGAAAGGAAGTGTGGATAGCTGAGTGATGCAGTGTGTTGACTCTGAGAAGATTGTTTTTTTTTCTGTTTTGCTCCTACGCGATGAGCTGGCCTTGTTGACGGCTGTTTTCATTCATTATTGGCTATCAGCACACGAGGAAGAGTGCTTAGTCAGTGAAAAGTATGTTAACAAGCTCACCATTTTTGGCGTGCAGGTTGTCAACTATATTTATTTATAGGTGATTGTTTGACTGGTTCCCTTTTTCGAGGCGCCACTTATGTCCTGAAAGCTCGAGAGCATAGAGGATATTTTATTGTTTGGATGCCAATGCAGTCAATAAAAAACTGGCATTGATTGTGTAATTTCAGATTTGACGCGTCGCTTATTTTGTAGGAAAAATTTAACACATTCTAAAAAGTTCCTCAGAGGCAACTTAATAGCTTCACACTTATTTACTGTGCCTTGCAAATGTTTTCATACGAAGGTGATTGGAAAGGAAAGGTTTGTTGTTGGAGGATATTAGAAAACAAACAGAATCATAAAAACAAAATACTGTAGCTGACAGGTCGGGGAAAAAGCTGTGGAGATAACAGGCTGAGTGAGGAGAACATTTAACCTGAGAAGCAGCCAAGGTACCTCTGGAGGAGCTGCAGGGAGCAGCAGCTCAGGTGTGGAGATAAATCGACTTGCTAGATATTTGCAAAACTTAAGTTAGCTCAACTAGGTAAGGTGATGCAGGTTTGTGGCTGTAAACAAATAGCATTTAGTATAACAGGGAGACGACTAATGGAATTGTAAAATTTTCTGACTCAAGGTTTAGATCAAATCATTTTCCTGTGACAAAAGGGCCTAGTCAAAGTTCAGACCTTAGTCCAAACTGAAAATCTGTTGTAAGACTTGAAAGTTGTTATGCACAGATCTGATCTGATAGAGCTTGAGCTTGTTTTGCTCAGCAGTTTGGTGGAAAACCTCAGTTTCTAGATATGCAAATTTGGTGGAACCATGACCCAAAACACCTGACACTGGAACGAATGGTTCAACTGAGCGCTAACAGAATATGGCCGACTTTTACTTTTTCGATTATTATCTGTGTCATTGTCCTTCCACTTCACAATTATGCACCACTTCATATCGGTCTGTCACATTAGACTCCAGTAATGCCTGGAATATAAGATGTGAAATATTTTTATGCCTCCTCCTCACCAGTCTATAAGTAAGAACTGTACAGCTGAGTGTCTTTGCATACTCGTGTGCATTTCCTTTCACCACACAGACAAGTAAAGTCATGGTTGCTTAAACCTTTGCTTGTGGCTAATTGAATCTGGTGTCATCCCCCGCGTGACATTTGTGTTGTCAGGGGGCCAGGCCTTCAGCGTGACGTCTCCCACTGAAGCCGCACCACATCCTTCACAAAAGAAAGGACTCTTATTGCTCCTTTCTCCATGAGTGTGTGTGCCTTTCAGAGTGTATTTCCTTCTCCCACCCTGGGGGCGATCTGGGTCAGCAGTCAGCTGGCGTTGCCAGGACCAACACTTAACTTGTCAGGTCTGCGTTTCACGGCGGCACAGCTTCAGGCAGCAGCCAAAGTTAAAGAGATTGAGGGCAAGTAGAGAAAGAGGTGAACTCTCAGGTATGTGAGATTTATTTGGTTTCTAGAAGAGAAAGTAAATGATGTCTGTTATTGCATCTTTGGCAAACGCAGCTCCAGATAAAAGCAACAAATTTTATGAAGGTCTAAATACTTCTAAAACAAAACAGCTATGACAGCTTTGCTTTTAGTGTGCAGTTTGGGTTACATATTGCTTCAGCTTGACAGGAAATGCATAATAATGCACTAAAACACAATATAGCTGTCACTGGCTAGCAAATATTAACATGCTTCACCAAAGCGGATAACTTATTAAGAGGACAAAAAGGAGAAAATCCTCATAAAGAGGTTTAAAAATTTGAGCAAGACTGACAGTTTAAAAGCTGAGCTGTTTGAATGTTATTTAAGATGAAGAAAAAGAAGGGAGTTCACACCAGGAGAGACAGAGGCTGTAATTTCAAATGATCGCAGCAGGTGTATTTATGTTTCCTAATCTTTTTATAGCAAGTCTGGCTAGCAATATGAAACGTCAACAGAGCTCAAACTGTGTTGGTTGGTCGAGATCTTTGACTTTCCTGTTTGACCTCCACCAATCAGCAGGAACAGTTTTTTATCGTTTAGATATATTTATTATCTTTGAGTTTAGGGCTGTGCATGTTCAAGTTGTTCTCTTAGTTTTGCTTTCTCAGAACGTTTCTCCAACACAATGCAGCATGAAAGGGATTGTAAACACATCAAAATGAGCCACAGAAGTGGCCTGATGCAGCTGTTTGTCAATCCACCACACAACTCCTATCCCATGCTTTGCATTTCTCATCTGCACTTTTTATGTTAGCTTAGTATTTTTGATTACCTCTGGGGATGAAGAGTAAAATGTTGTGCAAAACTTAAATATTATTTAGTAAAATTTTAAATTATTCTCTTAACATTTAACTTCATACTTTGTTTGCACTGATGCACTGCAAAAAAAACCTAAATCTTACAAAGTATTTTTGCCTAGTTTCCACTGCAAATATCTTAGTACATTTGAAATAAGACAAAACTAACATAAAAGTAACTTTTCATCAACATATATCAGCAGTTTTTAAGTAATTAAATCTTAAATATACATAAAAACACATTAGTTTCACTTATAATGAAACATTTTTCCTGTTTTGAGCGAAAAAAAAATCTCCCAGTTGGACTAGTACTGTTTGTATCTGTATTCAAGAATTACTGACTTCACAGCTTATTCATCTTGTTGAAAAGTTACTTTTAAGTTATTGATTTAAATGTACTAAAATAGCGGTGCCAGAAACATTTCTGACAAAGGTTTTGCATCTTTGCAGTGTGAGAGCCTGATTCCTATGAGAAGTTATTACGCTTGTTATCAAAGCTAAAATAATCATGCGCGATCTTCTAATGGTAGATTTAATTGGAGGTACATAAACATTAAAGTAGAATGTTAACAGATCAGAAAGAACCTGGCTTGTTCTTGCCACCTCAAGTAAATTAACTAATTTCTTTGTTATTGTGGAATATAAATTGGAGCCAAGGGAAGATTTGATGACCAACACAAAACAGAAGAAAAAATATACCAAGAAATACTTGATCACTGATTATATTTAGCAAAACCAAAACCCTGGAAAACCTCCCCTCTGCTCAGTATCAATTAATCACTCAACTGATATTACAGGCCCAATCTGAAACCGTATTTTATTTTAGACACATTAACTCAGAAGACATCAGGAACTTCTGTGACTCGCTTGATGACTGTGAAGTTTTTGTTTCCAATGTAGAGATGAGTTTATGTGTAACTAATCATGGCTCAGCTGTGGAGTTCCTGTACCCTTATGATACAACTTACATTTTTAGGTATGTGTCCTATAAAAAGTTCAGATGTGGTTTCTTTCTTATAATCCCTTTGACGTCAGATAACTGGAAAATGGAGCATCAAAATGCTGGAGGCCGTTGAAAAAATGAAACAGATCTTCACCACACCTCATCTCTTTTAATGCCTGATACACTTTGTCTTTTTCCACTCAAAGCTTTTTGTAGACCTCAGACTTTTTCCAACAACCTTCATTTTTAAAAAAAATTATATTTTGTGTTAGTTTCTTGGAGGTACAAACTGATATATGTTTTTTTAAGATATGTGTTGCAGTGTAGATGTAAAAATATTAAATTTTGTCTGTAATTTGTGATGGTGAGCATCTGCTCTCTATTCTATCCAGTAATACATCAGTTTGATTTGATCCATGTACATAAATGCATGAAAATTTTTTCTCACCTACTTCACAATGAGCCTTTGACCATTTTCATGGTCACCTGTAGTTTTTGACACTCGCAGATGCTTTACTTGTAAATATCTCTAAAAGTCACTGGTTTACTCCGTTTGATTCTCCAGCCCAGCTTTCTGACAGAACAGAACATTCTGCATACCTTGTATTCTTTTAAATCTGCCACTTCCTGTTCTTCCAGTGTTAAAATAAAATGCAGAACAGGTTGCACTGTTATGGGAAAGTCTCCTGTGACAAATATGCTACTAACAGCAGAGTTACGCAATTTATAAAATGAAAAAGGCGTCGCTTGGTGAGAATGGAAGTGATACTCTGCTGGTTGGGAGACGGTGCAACCTCGTCTGAACTTGACCTCCAGACAAGTTAAGAGTTTATGTTCTTGATTTTATGCCTTGTTGCTGTTTTAATATCCGTGTTAGTGTAAGACTTGAGCTGGTTACAGATATAAAGACTTGACAGACTAAAATATCCAGTTTCCTTCATGTTTTTTTAATATTTCTCAGCTTCAACACGTGATTTGACTCACTGAGTGATCAACAGTCTGATTATTTAAATCGTCTAAACAACTTTTTGTAGCAGGAAAATATGTGAAAACTTTCACAGCAGCAGGGCTGAGGATCTGGGTTGGGCCGCTCAGTGCTACATCACAGACAGAAATGAAAGCAGAAGAAGTTCACGCATGTGAAGGATTTACACCTAAAACAATTTGAGCTGCACAATAATTTACTAAACGTCACAACTTTGCAGGTAGTGCTTCTTGAATGATACAGAATGTACTGAGTACACGCCGATATTGTCCACATTCTTCCTCTAGATGTTTAGGTGCAGCTTGGTTTGCCACAGATATCTCTTCTCTACCCACAACTTCTGACATTTTCATTTTTTAGATATCTTTGGCAGATTGTCAAAAATGCGTGTTTTTCTCAATCAGAAAGTTTTCAACTTCAGGAATGTTTACTGTGTTATTTACTGGGCTTAGAATGAGAGGCTGCAGCAACAAATGCTTGTTTTGTTATTTGCCTCCAATATGGCTGCACCAGTTTGATGACATCATGTGAAAACACAGTTTAGCAAATTGTTGGTTGCTCTAACAAGCAGATTGAGTATGCTAACAGAGCGAATATGACGTTTTGTCTGGATTAACTGAGGCTTCTTTAGCCTTTTGGTGGCAGTTTTTGGTTGCAACAAACGAGGCCATTATAAATTATGATTAATTACAGAAAATATTTATTTTATATGAAAGAAAATTTTAAAAATGATGTTACACTTTTCAGAGCCCAGATCTTAGCTCAAGATGCTAATATGTATTCATGACTCCCTCCATTGTACCTTTTTTTTTTTAACTCAGATTGGTTACTGCTCTATTTTTAGACGTTCCTACGTTGTGAAAAGTGTCTGACTAATCAAGCAGCTGAGCTGAGTAAGCCTAACAATTAGCCTGACTGTCATAATGAGATTAGTTTTCTCAAATAGGCATCAAGTTTAAATAGCTATTTTCATCTATTCTATTACTTTTAAAGTGCCAATTATTGTCACAGGTGCACAAGTTTCCCCACTAGAGTAAAAGCATAACTGGGCTGATAAAGATACTCCTTTTCATAGTCTTGTGTCATATGACTTCTCAATTAGCCCAATCCGTTTGTGTTCAGTGTTGATCCCTCGGTACATTTCACAGGGATTAGTTTTACCATTCGGACCTCTGTGCAACTCGTCACCCGGCCCCTCAGATTAGCTCTGGGCATTAATATTATCTGGTGTGTTATGCTTTGTAAACATCTTTGAATTTCTCATCTTTCTCCATTATATGAAGCTGCTTCTTCATTTGTTCGGCTCTCTTTCTGAAGCCGCTTCTCTGCCTGCTGGACCATTATCGTCACTCACATCCCAGAAACCAGACATGAAGGCAATTTAGTTCCACTGTAATGGTTTTAATAACTGTATCATTCAACACTGCCGCCTTCCGAGTGAAACATTGTTTATCAATGTGAGATAGATGGAGTATGTATACTGCAGATTAAGTGTGTGTGTGTGTCTTGGAGGCCGTCCTGTAAATGTAGGAGTGCTCCATCTTTGCTCTGACGCTGATTTTAATGAATTTCTTTGCTGTTTAGTACCAGAACCTCTCTGAATTTTCAGTTCTCCTTATAAATTATTCACTCCTTATAAATAAATTGCAATGCTGTTGAGCATTTCTTATCCATTTGACTGGTTCTAAAGAAACTATTCCTCTATATATTAATAATCATAAGCCGAAAGGCTCCAATAAAAGCTTAACCGTGCCTCCAGAAGTTACCATACAACTTGATCTTTTCCACATTTTGTCACTTTACACAGAATTTAACATTTTTTTACTTTGAGAGTAGTAGAAGAAGAAAAGTAGCAGAGTGAGGAAGAGCAGGTCTGTTTGCTTCATTCACGTTTTCATGCGTGTCAGAGTAAGATTTTTTTTTCTTTCATTTTTATCAGTAACAATATGTCAGTTTGCCTCCACTGCACCAGCTTGCCCTCTTTTGTTTTGGTCCATCTAATAAAAGGTTTAAAGATGCATTGCTGTTTATGGTTCTAACATGACAAAATGTAAAAAGCTGCAGACAGAGTAACTCGAATCAGTCCAATCAAAAACATGTTTGAAACATTACAATTGACTTCATCAGACAGCTTTCAACTGGTGTGTGGCTTTTTCCTTCCTGACTCAAGCTGTGAAGAGGAAATGGGACATGGGTTTTGACTCAGTTTGTCCCATTTCCACAAATCAATAGCTTTAGCATATAGACCGATGTGTCATTTTGTGACCCCTCTGCTTAAATCCTGCTGTTTCACTTTTCCAACAGGATTCCACGGTCTACGAAAAGGAGAAGGACATCATATCTGTTGTGAGTTTGTCTCAGTTATGCTTTTTCAAATTTCAGCTGGTGAAACTTTTGTTTCTTTGTGCTTTAAATGTGGTATTTTTAGCTGTGTGAACCGGCGTGTTTTTCCCGTTTTAGTGCCGTCAGCTGGTGGAGGTTTGTGATGAGATCCTGACCTCCAGCTCCGACTCGCTTCTGACCCACACGACTCAGCTGGAGAGCGTCAACCTGGTCCCTGCTGCACCCGGTGATCATCTGGTAACGTTCTGCTTCCTTATTATCCTCATGAGTGTAAAAAAGGTTTTTTTCCATGTTAAATTTGCGTCAGCCACAATGAGCTCTCATGGGTTTTATTTTAATTTTAGTTTTTACTAAGGCTTCAAAGTTTTACTTTATATTTTTAATATTTTTACTTTAAATTTCAATATTCCTTCTTTTTTCTTTACTTTTCTTGACCTTCATTTGTTTTACACTTCACCTGGCTTATCAGTTGACTCACCCTCATATTCTTTTTTTTTTCCCTCCAAGTGATTATGCTGATGCTTTATTTAAACACTGACTTGTTTAAAGCTTATTTTCACCCCTGACCTCTGCTGGGGGTTTCCAGTTCAGATCCTGTCAACCGATCCTTCATCCAGCTCAACGTTCTTCTCCTTGTACCAACTTTTATTTCTGTTCCTAAAGCCTTCCCTGATGACTGGTAGCTAAAGCACAATGTTCTTTTTGTGCTGCCTGTCCTGATTTTGCCATAAAGTCTGCACATTTGGTTCAGCACTCACAGCTCTCCTCTGTTCCTCCATGCTGGTTATCCCACTAATCTAGTATCCTTTTCGGATTCATTTCTAAAGAGTTATTTCTTTCATGCATTTCCCTCTTTCTTTGCCTTTGTGGACTCAAACCATTAAGTAAAAGTCTCATTAGATGGTGGATGCATTTTCCCCATCTCGTCTTGTCTTTTTAAACATTTTATTTATTTATTTTTTATACATTACACCACTTTTGATGTTGCGCCTGCAAATTGTTTACATGTCCGTGCTTCTGAATGCTAAGTTCATTTTTCTGCTAATCCACTGCTCCTACAAAAGAAGGACTTTTACAAATGTACTTAGCTAGAGGAGACGGTTTGTTAATTACAGCTGACAGCAGGTAATTGATTAGAGTACATCACCGATAATGAAGTCGGCGCTCTGACAGATTAAGAGTAATGGGAACTAAAGGCAGGGGGAAAAGGAAGTGAGAAGCAGAAGGCATTATGGTTCTTACGAAGGGGGTTTACCGTACAGGACGTGCCTCCGACACAATGTGTAAATCTAAAAATTAAAAGCACTGAATCTTTTTTCACATTTTCTCTAAATATAGTTGTAGAAATTTTAAGATTTTAAGAAAAACAATAAAATTATCTCAATACTTTAGTATTAGTGCTTAATTTTCTGGATTTTATGATTCACTCATATATGTTTGTCACAAAGTTTTGACATAATATTTAACAAAATGTTATTCTGAAGATATTAACTGAGTAACAAGAAAAACTATCCCAATGTCTGTATCTGTAGAAAATGAAACAGTTTTAAATTAAAAAGCTAGTATCTAAAATAAACTTAAAGAACAAATTAGAATAAGTAATAATAGTATTTACTTTCTGAGTTTCTCATAAGCTAACACTGGATCCCATTAACATTTGCAGGACTTTATGGATTAATATAGACTCTTTACCTAATCAGTAATATATTAACATATAAATCCCATCTTTAAAAGTGAAAACATGCTTGGTAGCAGCCAAAAGGTAATGCAAATCTAATTTCACATTATTGTTTGTAAAAATGCCTAAACACTGGAGATGCCACATACTGTCAGATCTCAGCTGTCCTAATAAACTCTAAAGCCTTTTTCATTACTATATGTCATATTTCTTAATTAGTTATTGAGTTGTTATATTACCCAGCATTAAACTGAACCTCCATAAATTGCATTTTGATTAATTAATATATGTTTGATAGATTGCTCAATATACATCACAATCATTCTGAGGTCATTTGATATTTGTTTTTGTTGATTTGTTCTTTCAGACATTTTCTGTTGATAAAATCCTCATAAAATCCATTGAAGTTCTGTGTTGTATAAAGCAATGAGGATAGATGAGTTTATATACTGAGGAAGAGGAGTAACTGAACAGCGGTGCAGAAAATCAGGCTGGCAGGCTGAGGAAGACTGGAAGAGGAGCAGCACAGAAAACTAATAGAACAAAAACTAAACAAAGGGAGAAACTACAAAATCTAATCTAAAGAAACAAGTCCAAAGCCACAAATGTTGAATGAATAAATGAACAAACAAAGTAATAACCAAGAACGCAAGATCCAAAGAAATGAAACACAAATGAAACTTAAAGTTCAAACACATTTTAGTCTTAACAAGTTAAAGATTGTTACAAACTGTGGAAAAAAATAACAGGAAAAGTGTTTATGTAGTGCTGTTTTTTAAAATCATAAATACAGGAATGAAACACTTTTTATCCATTGATATTTCCGTCGCCGTTAGATATGTATTGATTGTGTAATTTAACTTGTGTTTAGTGATGACAAGTTGATGAACAAACATCAATATTTCCACAGAATCCAATTATAACAGCAGCATCATCGTTATGCTGCTTCCGTCCAAGCTGTTTGTCAAATTCACACTGCAGACTCACAAGTCATTTTATCTTTCTGAATTATGCACAGCATTATTATTATTTTTTTGTTTGTTTCCATTTCTCTCAGGGGATCGAGATAACATCCACCAGCTCCAGCAACCACTACGTGACGGGAACGGCTGCAGAGGTCAGGTTCACACGTTTGCTTTTCCTCCCATTTGGATGTTGATGCAGCCGGCTAACGGTGTGACTCACTGGTCCTCCTGAACTCTGGGCCGGTGGGGTCAACTGCAGCTAGAGACGTGTTCAGAGGGGTCTTCCCCACATTGAACTACCCAGCTGCTTTGCTAAAAAAGCCTCTGATGGAGGAGAAGAAGATAACCAAACTGTTACTCAGTTTTTGCTTCAAAAGAACACGTTTGTTCTTTTTTTTCTGCTAGTGTTTGGTTAGTTGTTGTTGTTGTTTTGCCAAACACTTGTCATTTTTGTTATGAAAAGTGAAAATTAACAACAACACTTCATTCTCTGGCCTCTGTGACGATAAAAACAAAAAAAAGGCAAAGTGACAGCACAGTTTTCTCTGTTCTGTTAAAGACGGTGAAGCATGACACATTATTTTCAGCCAAAGGCTCTTCTGTCTGCTCCAAACTATACAACCTGCAGGCACTTGGTGCATTGCATTTGTAAACTTTACTGCTCATTTTAAATGTTGCGTAATAAATCCAAGCTGGGAATATGAATTCTGTCAGATAATGATTTATATCGTTGTTGGGATTGTTCTGTGATACATTTAGCTGTTTTTGTGTTGCTCCATGTTTACGCTGCTTGTTCCTCCTTTTGCAGCCTTCCACTGATGCCTATTTGCGAGTCCTGTCTGGTGATGAAGTGATCCAAGTCAACGACCAGATAGTGGTGAGTGATGCAGCACATGGAGAATGATCCAAATGCCTATATTTATATTAGACTAAGACCTGTGCACGCTGAAATAACCTGTGCTGCTGCATCAGGTCGGTTGGAGCAGAGCCAAACTTATTGAGAAGCTGCAGGAGAATCCCGGTGGAGTGACTCTGGTCATAAAGAGGATCCCGGGTTCGCTGCGGCGCAAGCATTCCATCCAGATCACGCCTGTGCAGGTTAGTCAGGTTAGCTTCACACCAACTTCAAGTCCAAATTTGATTTGTCCACATATTTCAGCAGCAGTTCAGTTTCCTTTGCATCATAAAAACACAAAAATAAAAACAAGGTCACAGAAGATACAGTCAACAAAGTTACATTTTGCTGTCATTACACATTAAAACGTTGATTAATGTTTCATTGATTATGTTTCAAAAGCAGCTATAAACAGGATGGTTTTAGTCTGGATTTAAAGGCTCTCAGTGTTTTGGCTGTTTTGCAGTTTTCTGCAAGTTTGTTCCAGATTTATGGTGCATAAAAGCAGAATGTTGCTTCTCCACATCCAACTCTGGTTCTGGGGATGCAGAACAGAACCAGAAGACCTGAGGGGTCTGTAAGGCTGCATCAGTGCATCTCTAATATTGATATGCATCAAACCCAAACCAGATGTCACATATTTGAGGACATATTTATTTTTTCTCTTATCACTGCTGATATTTTGCTGCTCTAGTATTTCATTTATGAGATTCATCTTTGGATAAAGTCTCATCACCACTCGGGATCCGTTTCCACCAACACTTACACTCGTCACCATGTCGACTGTTGTTTGTTTATGATCATCACAGTGAAACGCTGCATCAGTGAACGAGTTCACGCGCACACACTGTGCACTTCACACCCCCTTGTGACCATCGCCATGATAATCTGGGATCTAGCTGGCGGCTCAGGCTGAGAGAAAGATGTGAATCAGCTCCGTGTTTCAGCCCATATTGCCCCGAGACGACGCTCGGCTTTCAGCGAGACTTTCACAGACTTTGTGTTTGTGTGACCGTGTTCCTCTCTCATCTGCTCGACCGCAGTGTGTGCAGACAGAACCTGCCATCGCAGTCCACATGACATCCGCTTTGTTAACCCTGTGCTAAGCTCTAGACACACACAGGCTTTAATGTGCACACTCACATGTTTGGATTTCATTTGTTCGTAGAAGGAAGAGGAGAGACGAGTGAGTTCGGAGGGAGAAGAACCGGAGGACAAAGAGGAGAGTCAGAGGCACTCCATATTTGAGAGAGTAGCAGCTTCTGTCAGATCCCTGTCATTTAGGTAGGACTTTTAATAAATTAGTTTGTAAAAATGTTCACACACATTCACCCTTCAGCATGTCAAATGCAAGGCTCAGGCCAAATCTGGCCGGCCACAACTCTGTTAATGGCCCTCTAGACTCAAGATGCCAAATTTCTGCAATCAGTTCCTTCAAATTTTCACAATTCTATATTCGCGGAAAAGTATGCAAAATCAACATAAATTTAAACTGTGAGTTTATTTCAAATTTTCTGCAAAAATGGTATAAATGATTGAGTTTAATTGATACCAATTAACACCTGCTGGGGGCGATATTTCTTATTTGATGTAAAGTTATAATTTGTGATCAATATGAGAAGTTACAAAAAGTCTCATTAAATATTATGAAATTTCTTGCAACTATTCCTACATTAGCACCATTAAATCAGTGATTCTGACTGCAAAAAAATCACAAAAACAATCCTGGACGGACTGATCAATGAGAAACGTTTTATGATGTACTTATCGGATGCAGAAACAGCTATTTATCAATATTTTAAGAGTTTGTTAATTGGTTTTATCAATAAATTCTGGCACAACCAGCCTTGTAGAACATGAAAATGAGTTTGTGACCCAAGAGGCCATTCATGCGTAGTTGAATAAATCCAACTAATCTGTGAAGGCCTCAAAAGTTTCTTAGAGGAAGAAACCGTATCATGAAGACCATCAAATCCAACAGTAAGTTCTGTAGAAGTTTAAATCAGAGTTCGGTTATAAACCTTTGAACACAGAGCTCTTTTTAATCCATCATCTGAAATTGGAAAGTGCCGAGACAGGGCAATTCTGCTAAATCTGACAGGATCAATCAGAGAAGCAGCCAAGAAGTCCAAAGTAACTGGGAAAGCAGTGAGATCCGCAGCTCAAGCGTAAAATTCTGGCAACGATTGTCATGCTGGATTTGAGTTTCTTTACCCACATGCAGGTTTAGACATCAGACCGGAAGGTTTTTGGTTCAAAGATTTATTTACAGTTATTATAGAATATGTTGAGCCTAAGTTGTCCTCTGGTTTCGGGAGCGGCTGGGCGGCTCAGGTACTGCTTAGAGAGGGGAGAGGTTAGTAGGAGCGGGAGTGAGAGGATCTTGACAGGGAAGTGGAGGGAAGGGCTTACAGATCATCTGATGGAGGATTGCCGAGGAGGAGGTAGGATCCGTTGGTGCAAAGGCTCCGAGAAGGTTGCGGGCTCAGGCGGCAGACGAGAGCGTTTAGTCCGGAGGGCGATCGGTGTCAGTGTTCGGGTGGGCGTGGTTACTTAGCTGGATCCAGGCAGAGCATCCAAAATCTGAGAAAAAACAATAAAGATTAACTTAGTCCTTAGACAACGTGAGGCTTGGCAAACCTTGGGATTGACTCTGACCAACAAGTGGGACCATCGAGCGATGAATGGCTGCTCCACCGCTTCTTAAGAATCCTGCAGCCGATTTCAGAAATCCGCTTCAGGTGCGTCAGCCTGCCGGAACGCTCCCACGAAGATTGTCTATTCGGAGGAGCACTCACACCAACTTGAATCCTAACATTACCCCTCCCTCAATGACCGCCACCCGGCGGTCCCGAGGAACCCGAAGCTCTGGTGGCATGAAACCTCCTCAGAACCGACTTGTCCAGAATAAAAGACCTGGGAACCCAGGAGCGTTCCTCCGGGCCGTAACCTTTCCAATCCACCAGATATTGAAAACCCCTGCCCCTCCGACGTACGTCAAGGATTTTATTAATAGTATAGGCCGGACCCCCATCAATATAGCGGACGGGAGGAGGGGAGCCAACTGGAGGGCAAAGCGGGCTAGACCTCACAGGCTTCAGTAGGGAAACATGAAACACGGGATGAACCCTGAGAGAAGGTGGGAGCCTGAGTCTGACCGCAGCGGGGTTCACAATAGCCTGGATCTCAAACGGACCTAAATACTTAGGAGATAATTTCTTAGATGCAGCTTTTAGGGGAATGTCTTTGGCCGACAGCCAAACCCTCTGACCCGGCCTGTAAACAGGAGCTTGACGTCTCTTCCTGTCCGCAAAGCGGCGATTCTGGGCAGCGGTGCGATTCAATGCTGCAGTAGCATCCCTCCAAATGCGCTGGCACTTCCGAATGTGGTGTTGAGCTGACGTGACGGCATTCCGGGATTCGTCCGATGGGAGGAGAGGAGGCTGATAACCTAGTGAACATTCAAATGGGGACAAACCAGAAGCGGAAGAAACGTGGCTGTTATGTGCATACTCAACCCAGGGCAGCTGGGAGGACCATGAGGAGGGGTTGGAGGAGCACAGGCAGCGAAGTGTAGATTCCATCTCCTGATTCATGCGCTCCGTTTGCCCATTGGTCTGAGGATGAAACCCAGAAGATAAAGATACCTTGGCCCCAAGCGCGCCACAAAAGTCTTTCCATACCTTCGAGATAAACTGGGGTCCCCTGTCAGATAGAATTTCCCTCGGAATCCCATGGAGCCTAAAAACATGCTTAATAAGCAAAAGAGCAGTTTCCGCAGCAGACGGCAATTTTTTAAGGGGCACAAGGTGACACGCCTTGGAAAAACGGTCTACGATGGTAAGTATGACTGTGAACCCCTTAGAAGGGGGCAGGCCGGTGACAAAATCAAGAGCAATATGGGACCAAGGACGTCCCGGAACGGGTAAGGGCTGCAAAAGCCCACTGGGAAGTTGATGGCTGGACTTGTTCTTAGCGCAGGAGGGGCAGGCCGAAACATACTCTTTCACATCCTTATGAAGGGACGGCCACCAAAAGGAGCGCCTGATTAATGCCGCGGTCCGACTGGCGCCCGGGTGACCAGAAAAACGGGAAGCGTGAGCCCAATGGATCAGACGGGAGCGAACAGAAGAAGGAGCGTAAATTCGACCCGGAGGACCAGTACCTGGATCAGGATCCGACTGCTGAGCTTTGAGGACCTGGTCAGAGATGTCCCAGGAAACCCCCCCCATTATGCATGAGCGAGGAACTATGGTGTCCACAATAGGGTCCTCATCATCAGAGGAGAATTGTCGGGAGAGAGCATCTGGTTTCACATTCTCAGAACCTGGTCTATATGAAATGATAAAGTTGAATCTGGAAAAAAAAAGAGACCATCTTGACTGTCGCGGATTCAACCGTTTAGCCGTCTGCAGATAGGATAAATTTTTGTGATCGGTCCAAACCACAATCGGAAGCTCAGCCCCCTCCAACCAGTGGCGCCACTCTTCAAAAGCCATTTTAATCGCCAACAACTCCCGGTCCCCCACGTCATAGTTTCTTTCTGAAGGAGAAAGTCGGCGAGAAAAAAAGGCGCACGGATGCATCTTGTGATCAGAAGGCGAGGTTTGAGATAACACCGCCCCACCCCTGAATCGGAAGCATCCACTTCCAACGTGAATTGCCTAGTGGGGTCTGGCTGGATCAGGACCGGGCATTAGCGAATTTCTTTTTCAGAGCCGAAAACGCTGCGTCAGCTTCCGGAGTCCATGAGAACTGGACCTTGGTGGACGTAAGACTGGTCATGGGGGCCGCAGTCTGACTGTAATTACGGACAAACCTTCGATAAAAATTAGCAAACCCCAAAAAAACGTTGTAGTTGCTTGCGAGAAGATGGGGTCGGCCAATCCAAAACTGCGCGAATTCTCCCGGGATCCGGCTTCACCTGCCCACTCTCCAAAATGAACCCCAGGAACGAGATGGAAGGCACATGAAACTCGCATTTTTCCGCTTTAACATACAAACTATTTTCTAAAAGACGCTGTAGGACCAACCTTACATGCCGTTTATGTTCCGCCAGGGTCTCAGAAAAAATCAGGATGTCGTCCAGGTAAACAAACACAAATTGATCCAGAAAATCACGCAACACGTCATTGATAAGGGACTGGAAAACGGCCGGGGCATTCGTCAGACCGAAAGGCATGACCAGATATTCGAAATGGCCCAGCGGGGTTTTGAACGCCGTTTTCCATTCATCACCTTCACGGATGCGCACCAGATGGTAAGCGTTTCGTAGGTCCAATTTAGTAAACACGGTGGCACCCTGTACCGGTTCAAAAGCTGATGTGAGAAGGGGAAGGGGATACTTATTTTTAACCGTGATCTGATTAAGACACTTATAATCAATACATGGTCTGAGAGAGCCGTCTTTCTTAGACACAAAAAAAATCCCGCCCCCAGCGGAGACGTGGAGGGGCGAATAATGCCTGCAGCGCGGGACTCGTTAATATATTTTAGCATGCTCTCCCTCTCTGGCTTAGAAATGTTATAAAGTCGACTGGAGGGCAACGGAGCACCGGGAAGGAGATCAATAGCACAGTCATAGGGGCGGTGGGGGGGAAGTGACAGTGCTTTATTTTTCTGAAAAACCATTTTCAAATCATGATATTCAGGGGGAATCTTGGACAGGTCCAGAATGTCCTCCTCATCCTCCCGGGTGATGTCCAATTGTGGAGTCGTCTGGGCGGCCTGTAGACAGGTTGAGTGGCAGGTTCTGCTCCATGATTCCACTCTCCCCTCATTCCAATTAAGGTGAGGATTGTGCTGTCTCAGCCAAGGGAAACCCAGCACCAGAGGGGTCTGCGGAGAGGGAAACACATAGAAGATCAAAATCTCACGATGATTTCCTGAAACCAGAAGTTCAATGGGTTTAGTCTGTTGTGAAATGACGGGCAAGACTCCTCCATCCAGGGCGGAAACTTGGACCGGAACGGGGAGAGAAATTGTAGGAATATTTAGTTTCTTTACCAAATTTTCATCGATCAGGTTCTGCTCACATCCAGAATCAATTAGAGCCGATACGTTAACTGACCTTTGGTTGATGAAAAGGGATGCAGAAAGAGAAAGTCGGGAGATCAAACTGGAACAGCCACCCACCAGGACTCCCGTTATCACTGGTGGGCTCCGCCTTTTAACCGAGCCGGGCATACGGCGACGAAGTGGCCAGTAAGACCGCAATAGAAGCAGGCACGAGCTTCTAGTCGTCGTTGTCGTTCTGTGGGGGAAATTCTGGTGCGGCCGATCTGCATGGGCTCCTCGGAACAAGGCGTGTTCGGGATGGTTTCCATAGCAACCTCTGGTGCGAGTTTGTCTGAAAAAGGCACAGGTTTAAATGCTCTCTTCTCTCGGGACCTTCCTCTAAGTCTATTATCGACCTTAATAGCCAAAGCTATCAGGTTCTCCAAACTGGCTGGTTCATCCCTGCATGCCAGTTCATCTTTGAGAGTCTCATTGAGAGCCTGCATGAAAGCCCCTTTGAGAGCTTCGTCATTCCAACCAGACGTGGCTGCTAGAGTGCGAAAATCAATGGCAAATTCAGCTACAGAACGGGACCCCTGCTTCAGGTTCCAAAGCTGATGCGAGATTTCTGAACTGGACTCTGCATAACCAAAAGTTTGCTTTAGCTCGTTCAAGAAGGTAGCAAAAGGTGTTTGTGAAAGAGATGAGAGGCTAAATTTAGCTTCTGCCCATCTCAGGGCTCTTCCCTTCAAAAGTCCGATCATGTAAGCTATCTTGGCGGGGTCATCCGGAAATGAGCCTGGAGCTCTGCAAAATACAATAGAACACTGCAGAATGAATCCTCCACACTTTCCAATCTCTCCCGAATAATGTTCTGGTGTCGGGGGTGAAATCTCACGAGCTCGGAGCGACCCACCTGAAGCCGCTACCGCTATCTGCTCCACCCCCGGAGGAAGGACTGGGGCCGCTGCTCCGGCTGTAATTTGAGGCTGAGGGTTTTGCTCCAGCCTGTGTGATAGTTCCGAGACTGTGGTTCTCAACTGATCCATCAGCTGGCCCTGGAAACTCTGCTGGTCTAATAAAGTGCGAAGCATAGCGTCATGGCGGGCTAGGAGTTCTGCTGAACTTAAACCGGGTCTTGTGTGAGAACCTGCTGGGTCAACAGGGCTCGATGGTTCTGTCATGCTGGATTTGAGTTTCTTTACCCACATGCAGGTTTAGACATCAGACCGGAAGGTTTTTGGTTCAAAGATTTATTTACAGTTTATAGAATATGTTGAGCCTAAGTTGTCCTCTGGTTTCGGGAGCGGCTGGGCGGCTCAGGTACTGCTTAGAGAGGGGAGAGGTTAGTAGGAGCGGGAGTGAGAGGATCTTGACAGGGAAGTGGAGGGAAGGGCTTACAGATCATCTGATGGAGGATTGCCGAGGAGGAGGTAGGATCCGTTGGTGCAAAGGCTCCGAGAAGGTTGCGGGCTCAGGCGGCAGACGAGAGCGTTTAGTCCGGAGGGCGATCGGTGTCAGTGTTCGGGTGGGCGTGGTTACTTAGCTGGATCCAGGCAGAGCATCCAAAATCTGAGAAAAAACAATAAAGATTAACTTAGTCCTTAGACAACGTGAGGCTTGGCAAACCTTGGGATTGACTCTGACCAACAAGTGGGACCATCGAGCGATGAATGGCTGCTCCACCGCTTCTTAAGAATCCTGCAGCCGATTTCAGAAATCCGCTTCAGGTGCGTCAGCCTGCCGGAACGCTCCCACGAAGATTGTCTATTCGGAGGAGCACTCACACCAACTTGAATCCTAACAACGATACTCTGGTCAAATAAGCCAGAAAACTACCATTTGTGTTTCATCTTTGTAAAACTCTGACATGTTTGAGTCAAAAAAAGCATAAAACCTCTTAATTATGTGAGGGATCTTATAAACACTTGTTGCCAAAACAAAAAAACCTTAATGAATCTGTGGGAAATGACATAAATATTATTTCATTTCCAAATCCAGGTTTGTTTAAAGTTTGTTTCAGTAAGTGATCACAGATTTACTGAGTTGAACAGAACCTCCCACAGCCTCTGCTGACCTTTTTAATCTGCCTGAACCCAAAAGGTTTAAAGTGATGTCACTTACAAATGCCATAAATTCCACCGACAAGCCGACGTTTTGCTGGAAACGGGAGCGAAATAATAGATGAAGATGCCAGCCAGCATCTGAGTGAGTTTCAGAACGGTGATTAAAAATCTAAAGAAGAAAAATCATAGGAAAAAGTGAGAAGAAGCAAACATGAGAAGTGATGGCTGAGGAGCTCAGGCAGATAAATGGTGGGTGTGGGAGGTGATGCACTGCAGATCCACATTTCAGACTGCAGGCGTGTAAAGTCATATCTGATCTCTGCAGAGGTTCTGGCTTTGTATCAGTGTCTGTTTAAACACAGCTTCCTTCAATCAGTGTTAAATCAGTATCACATGACACCTGACTGCGGTCAGTCCTTCTGAGAGCTGTCATCACATGGTACCCACTGTTTTATTTACTTTTTTTTTTTTTGGTTTTTTTTTTTTTTTTGGTTTTTGGAAAAGTCTCAGAATTTGCAAATTCTTGGAAGTTTCCAGAATTCTCGTCTGGTTTCTAAGAATGCTTCTTGTTGCGTTGTGCTGCAGGCGGGCCGTTCATGGGCCGGAGGTTCGGCATCAGCCTATGGGACAGGAAGAGTCTGAGTTACCTTCTGACAGGGAGCAGGAGAGAACCGTGACGTTAGCTGCATTTCAGAACCATCCGGGCAGGTTGTCTCCTCTGCCGGCGTCAGGTATTTGAAAAATCCCTCTGGATGTCGGGGATTATTTTTTTATTATCTTACTTTCAGGAATAAGTCAGGATGAATCATCTTCAACACAAACTATCCCAACAACAATTGGTTCATCCTGTCATTCCTTGTGGCATTTCCAATACTCTGCAGGTTGTAGCCAATCAAAACAGAGGAAAAGTGTCAGCTGAGCTCAGTTTTATGTCTGAACTATTTTTTTAAACCAGAAACCAAGATGGTGTGATTAGCAAACGCGGCTGGGCATGGAACAGTGCAAATCTCTCCTTTGGTTACTAAAGCATAACAGAAACAAAATTTTGAATAAATATATTTCTTCTTAAAGACATTCAGTAGAATAATGTAAACTAAAATAGACTCAGACTGACTGCACACCTGTAAATATCGCAGGTGTGCAGTTCCTACCACATGTATTTGTAATTTAACTCGACTCAAAAATACTTTATACATCTCAAAGAAAAATTAAATATATTCATAACTCACATCCAAATATCTTGGATTTTGATGTTGTGGGCAGGAAGGACCTCCAGTAGCAGGCAGTCTTAGCCTCTGACTGAAGAAAGCTGCTGTGTGACTGTCTTTTCATGACTCTGATGACATGCTAACAGCAGCAACACCACCAGTTGTTGACAAACTCTGCTTATCCACCGCGTTTGCTTTTGCCACTCCTCTTTAAACCTCTGCCTGGTCGCATGGTTAGAAAGCTGAGCGGAGACGGTTTTAACTTCTTTGATCCTGCTCTGCATCCATGAAGCCTCCGTTTTAAATCCTCCTGTTAAAAAAAAAACCATGCCATGTTCCCATGGGTACACATCGTAACAACTGTGCAAAAGTTAAAGAAAAAAGAAAAGTAAGACTGAAAAGCATTCCAGCTCAAAAGCAGAGGGAATCATGCAATGCCTCAACCAATAAAAATAAAGAACAAATAAGAATAAATAAGAAATGAGTTTAAAACACTGAGGAAAAGTAAAAAAACAGGATTGTTTTAAATATTATGCTTTTGAGGATGATCCTCCCTGTTGATGATTCTCACTGAATTCAAGAGATTATTTAAAAGTGTAATAACTCAGGTTATTGATTGTGAACTCAAACTAATTATTGCAGTGGCTGAGAGTTCGGATGGTTCGAGGCTTTCTCCAAATCTCAGCAAAGACCGAACGCCGTCACCCAGAAGTCCTTCGCCTTTTGAGTTTAGCCTAGAAAGAAGCAGCGTCAGCTCCTGCCCAGACATGGTGGGACACACGGTGAGAGGATGGAAAGTCAAAGATCTAGTGAGAAAACATTAAGATCTCTGTAACCTTCCTGATTATTCTTTTCCAGTCGAATAAGGAAACCAAGAAGAGCTCTACGAAAGGTAACAGGACACAAACACAAAACAAAGTATTCGTACCTTTCAAAGCACCCAAACCAGTGTAAATGCACCAAAGCTGTATAAAGTTTCTCCCATTTTAAAGTTATGCACTAAGTTTGTAGTTTTTATGTGACATGTGAAAACACTGTAGCAGTATGAATTCTTCTGCACTGCACTGAATATTAATAGTGTTAAAAGATTGCTTTATTTCACTACAAAATAAACATTTAAGGATTATTTCAGTAAATAGATCTTTTGGAACATCTATTTACTGAATTACTATTAGATTAAAAAAATGGATGAAAAGTAACATTAAAGGTGAAAATAAATGTTTTTTTAGGGCTTTAATGGTGAATTTACTCATCTTTCATTTTGTGTTTGTGGTGGATTCCCAGGAATGTCGACAGCTCTGAGCCGGCGCCGAGTGTCCTGTCGAGATTTGGCTCATCCCGACTGCGACGGCTGGCTCTGGAAAAAGAGGAAGGAGAGCAGCGTCTTCATCACCCAGAAGTGGCAGCGCTTCTGGTTTGTTCTGCAAGGACCCAATCTGTACTGGTATAACACACAACAGGTAGGGAAAAAAATAAAAAAATAATTCACTTTTTGCACATTTAAGATTGTTGATGTGATTTTTGTATTTTCTTCAGGATGAAAAAGCTGAGGGTTTCCTAAATATATCCAGCTACAACTTAGAGAGCGGTGGAGAGCACAAGAGAAAACAGTGAGATTTCCTTTCATGATGGATCGTATTGCAAACCTGTAACATTTTCTTTGACATTGATAGATTTGTGGTCTAAGCATTTAATGTTCCAGAATACAAGCGAGGTTTTATAATCTCAGGTTCTTCTTGCTATTTTGGACAAACTGAAATGTTTCATCATCTTACAGAGGCAAATAATTAGGATTTGTGTGGAGCTGCACTGTGTGTTTCATGTGACTCGGACCCTCATCCATCCATCTTTCTTCTGCAGCGTTTTCCAAATGACCCATAAGAAATTTCAAAACTTCTTCTTCTCCGTTGACTCTGCCACCGATCTGAGCAAGTAAGTTGGAAACAGAACATTCAACACGACTTACTTGTGTTTATTGATAGGGTAATGTCAACAAGTTGAAAAATTAAATACATTTTTCATGCATACACCTTATTTTATTCATTCACAACAGCGTTTGATCATATTGTTTTGGGTGCAGATGCACACTGCCCCCTGCCGTTGGAATTAATTGATTCTCCTCCTGCAAAAACAGTTTCAGTTTTTTAACAGCCCCTGCAGGTGTGACAATAATATTTCAACCTACAGTGCCTTGCAAAAGTATGAATATCTGCTGTTTTGGTAATTTGTCAATATTACAATCAGTAAATTCACTGTATTTAGTGGGATTTTGTGTCACAGTCCAAACAAACAAAGCAGCGTATAATCATAAAATTATAAGAAAGTACTACATTGTTTTTACACTAAAGCTAATTGTCCTGTCAACACATTCACTAAATACAAATGCACAACACAATTTTCAGATTTTTTGTTAAATTGTATAAAATCTCAGGCTGATTTCCTTCCACCTCCCACTGTTCATCTTTGTGTTGGTTTGTTAAATAAAATCTCAATAAAATCCACCGATGTTTAAGGCTGCAGCATGACGAATGTTAAGGGAATGTGAATATTTCTCCAGTGCACCGTAACGTCTGAAATAAAAATATTTATTGTTCTTCAGGTGGATCAACAGTCTGATTATAGCCATACAGAAACACAAGAGGCTCCAGAAAGGTCCAGACAATGAAGAAGGTATGCCAAAGCTTTTCTATTTACTTTTCTAAAAAAAAGCTTTTTTATTCCATTTTCTAAATGTTTGTCTGTAGCTGAAATGCTTGTTGAGGCTACAGTGTCAGCACCAGTGGGAAAACACATAATCGTGTTTCTGAATTATGAAATGTTAACCGTTAGCAGTGAAAGGAGCATAATTGCTGTTGCTGTAGTTGCCAGGCAGCTGGTTGATAACAATAATGGAAAAACAGCGCACACTTAAGGTAATGTCATGATTCTAACAGCCTTGTTAATGTTTTCATAGAATGTTACAGCGAAACTGAATCGGAGAGCGAATCGTCTCCTTCATCTCGCAGGAAAAACAAGGTGGGTGCAATTAAAAAGAGTCAAAGCCGTGAAAATAAATGCGGTTCAACCTGCTGATGGTGTTAATGTGTGTTTCTGTGTGTGCAGCAGAAAGTTCAGTCTCACACTCTGCCTCGACCGAAGGGGAAAATAAACAAGGCGCCATTACCAACTTCATCAACAGAGGGCAGCAAAGGTACAAATATGGCCTGACAGGACCTGCAAAACCTCACACAATATTTTTAGTCTAGTTTCTTGTTCAAATAAATTCGTACACTTGAAATAAGACAAAAGTACTTTGTAAGTAACTTCCCAACAAGATGTAGGAACTTGTTTCAAGTCAATAGATTCTTACTATTGATGAAACTGTAATAGTGCAATTAACAGATAATTTCACTTATAATATGACATTTTGCCCAGAATATAAGTGAAATAATCTGCCAATGTGATCAGTGATATTTCATCCATATCAAGGAATTACTTACTCAAAGCAAACTCCTATAGCTTGTTGAAAAGTTACTTACAAATTATTTTTGTGTTATTTCAAGAGTACTAAGATATTTACAATAGAAACGACAACAAAAGCACTCTGTAAGGTTTTGTGTTTTTGTAGTCATTTCACTTTCTTTCTTGGTTCCTTAATAATAAAAAGTTAGATGTTTGCAAGTCATATTTTGTGTCTTTTTTTTTAAGATGGTGGCACCGTGGATGAGATGGGGATGATGTTTAACAACCTGAAGGAAGGAGGCGTTTCTCTGATTGGCCATGAGCAGCCGTTCACGCAGGACCACTTCAGGAAGTCGTTCATCCGGCGCAACAAGAACCCGGTCATCAACGAGAAGGTGCACACGCTGCGGGCCCTGCAGAGCACGCTGAAGGTGAGACAGGACGGTCCCTCCGGTTTGGAGAACAACGATTCCATCAAATGTACTTTACTTCATGTCAGAGCTTGAATTTACTTCTAGAGATGCACCGATCCAATAACAATATCTGTATCTGTTCCGATATTGGAAAAAAAAAAGGCAAATTTTCTTTGGTAGTGTCCTGGCAGGTTGATGGTAAAAAATAAAAAAAAACAAGTCACACATGAATGGGTAAACATACATAACATATTATTAAAAGTAAATTATAAGAATCTGTTTATACCACTTCCTTTCGGTTGAGCTTGGGGTGGAAAAACGTCTGCGTGTTTCTTGCAGACATGTTTGCATTTCAGCTCAGAGCTGCATGAAAGCTGAAGCCGCTTTCCTTTGCAGGCGAAAGAAGCCGAGTTGCTGCAGATCAGCAAGCTCCTGGACGAGCCGGACCTGACCGCGTCCAAGTACCGGCGGTGGAAGGATCAGAACGAGGAGCTGCTTTCAGAAATCGAGAAGCTGGCCTCGGCGGCGGGCGGCAGAGACGTCGCTCCGGCGGAGCGCAGCGAGGACGTCGCTCCGGCGTGGGACACGCCTGCTGAGGACATCGCCTCGGAAACGGTTGCCACAGAAACAGCCGCTGCAGAGACGGAGGGCGCGTACAGACTGAGGCTGAGCGAAGGTGAGCAGCTCGTCGACACGGAGCCGTCTGATGTTCTCCTGGAGATCCCTGGGGAATCTTCGAGTCCCGAGTCGAGCCCGGTGCTGGAACTCTCTCTGGGATCGCTGTCGGACTCCATAAACAGTCAACTGCGCAAAAACGCAGAAAGCAGAGACGCTGATGATCATTACTTCTACATCTAGAACCTCAGCGGCTCAGTAAAGCCCGTTTATTGTTGCCCAGTGTTTCCCACGGAGCTGTCGAACAGGAACGCATGTTCTGATAATTACACTCAAGGTTCTCTAAGCATTGCCTCTCAATCAAAGGCTGCATCCTTAAAGACTTTATTCTCTTGTTATATGAAAAAAGAAATCTGCCAAGTGTTCAGTACATATTTATGAAATTCTGAAATATATTAGATTTTGCATTATTTTAAATTTTTCTTGTAGGTCATGTCTTTTTTTGATATGTTGTGTAAATATTTTCCCATAATTGCTGTTTTTACTGGTTAACTCAGAGTGAATGAAATAAATGAAAAACATTTGATGGAACGTTCCCAGCAGAGTTGCAGCTGCTGCTCCTGCTGGTCGAAGCTTTTTCAGCTCTTTTGTCTGTCTGTGCTTCACTTCACCTCTTCTGAGCGCCTGCTGATGAACTCTTCATCAGACTCACTGTCTGGATGAGCAGTGAGTGAAGCAGTGAAGGTCTCTCCATGCTGGCTTGAAAGAATAAAGAGAATTTAGATCCAATATATATGCAAGCATATTTCAGTAAATTGAAATATGATGAAGATGAAAGGAAAAGTGAAACTTGTACCCAGATGGATGCATTTTAAGGGTTTATTTGTGTTAATTTTGGCACACAGATGATAAAAAACAAAAATTCTGTCTCTCATAAACTTGAATATTACAAAAGACCAATGAAAATGGACTCGTGAAATGTTAAGATTTTCTGAGAACAAAAATATTGAGTTTTCTTTTGCTGTGCAAAAATAAACATTTATCAGTCATTGTTTGATGAATTGATATCATAGTTTTAAAATATTATTTAAATTACTGAAAAAAATGCAAGCTGCATATTATCAATGTGACTCAGAGGATTATGACTGACAATCACTAGTAAATGTTTTGTTTTTTCAATTTCAATGTTAATTGCTTTGCTTCCTTCAACTGTCGTCTAACAACAAAAATAAAATGTTTTCAATTCTCTGTTTAGCTTTTCTTGACCAGAACACAACAAAACCTTCATCACTGTAATGTCAATCAGATTTATGTTCTACATTGGCTTCAAATTTAAAACTATTTAATCCAGTAAACAGTAATCACATCTGGTCTCATAAAACCTGTATCTAGTCAGCGCCTCCGGCTTGTTTTCTGCACAGCATTGTCTCCAACGATGTCTGCAGCTCAAATTAGTGTGCACAGAGAAACACTGGTAGCAAAGACCTGCACATATATAATCCCAGCTTGTCAATATCTTTAGTTGAAATAATGATGGAGGATCATGTCATTTCAATTAAAATGTCATCAAAAAGAGAAAACAGACTCATGACATACAGAGAGGAATTTATTTCTGTTAATATTGAGAATTGTGTCTAACAGCTCAAGAAATCACCAATTCTCTAATAAGTGATATTTCAATTTCCAACATTTAAATTAACTTTTTGATGTTATTCTAATTTGCTAATATTGACATTTTTTTTTCTCCATGAATGTCTTCATTACCCAAACAAACTTCACAATGTATTTACTTTTTGTATCATTCAAATGTTTTATTGAACTCACAATATACAAACAAAAACACAACTAAACAATCTTGATCACCACTTAATCTCATCACTGATGACAGTGATAGAAGACCAACATTTAAAGAAACACAAGCACATCATCAGATCGTCTCGTTTGTTTTCTGTCCATTTTTGCTAATAAATAACACACAGAAACTCCAGTGTCTAAAACCATTTAGCATCCAACAGCCTCATCTACAAGCTGCTAACACTGGTTCTCTGACATGGCTACAGCCTTTTTCTGACTCAAACTAATGTACAGAAAGACAAAAAGCTTCACAAATCCATATCTCAGCATCTTTCTTGCTGCAACATTTCTTACTGATTTATATTTACAGTAAATTTTGTTTTGTCAGGATTATTTTACAGACATTTTCCAGACTCCAATGGATCAGCAATAATATTTACTCCAAATTTTACTTCCTTCATTGGCAGATTTGTGCACATTTATGGACTTTGCTGACAGCCTGTGCGCCAATCAGACCCAAAGACATTAATGCCAAGGAGGAATCTGAATCAACACTGGATTTTCACAGCCCTAGAGAAACACAACTCTTTTGGCTCTTGCTGAATAATACAACATTTTAGAGCCATTTTAGATAGAAAAAAATGTAAATTTGAAAAAAAAAGTGAGAAATTTTTTAATGAATCTCAAAATTTTTAAAAATAAAATAAAATTTCTAAGCTCCTAAAATCAAAAATTTGCCAGAAATAAATCAGAAATTAAGAAAGATTTTTCATACCAAACGTGGAAATTTCGGAGACCCGAAAGGCAAAAACTTGTGAGAAATGAAAATCTGACATTTTCAGATGAATCGCAGAAACTCGGTTCGGTTTGATTCTGACGAGTATCGAAAGAAATCTTGGGGGGGGTTTGCTCACATTCTAACAGCTGACTTCATATTCGTCCACGTCGGTCTTGCTGGTCATTTCTGGACACGAGTGGCACGCAGGACAGACGGCTTGCTCCTGGCGGGACGGGCAGGTCGGACACCTGAAGCTGAACAGCAGCGCGCCGCCTCCCAGCACCTGGAAACAAGAACCCAGCCACCCGAAGTACAGCGACCCGCCCGGACTCAGGCTGAGCTGGGGGAACTTGAGGTTGAGTCCTTGACTGGGATCCACGCCCAGCCTCCTGAGGTTGTGGGTGTAAATCCCCAACCCGGTCAGGCTCAGCAGGCCGGCGGCCACCACCAGGAGTCCGCCTGAAGCCGCCACCCTCCTCAGAGGCAGATCTGTCCAGCACCGGACCCCGATGCAGGCCAGGACGATCCCGATCCCGCACAGGAACAAGGACGTGAGCACCAGGCCTTGCACCAGCCGAACCCGGGCGTCCCTCTGGTACGGGCCGGCGATGGGCCAGCACTGCTTTAGCTCGGACTGCTCCACCTGCAAGCAGCTCTCCCACAAGCCGTCGGAGCGCAGCAGGAGCAGGGCCTCCACCGAGCCGGACCTGACACCCACACCTTGACCCTTTGCTCCGGACCGAAGGAGAGATCCAGTGCCCCCGATGTGCAGGCGAGCCTGTCCCTCCCGCCACTGAGGGGTGATGGCGGCAGTGAAGACAAGGACAAGTCCCAGAGGAGCGAAGACGATCCCCATCACCATGGAGACTGGAGTTTGCATCATTTGTGCTGAAACTGATTTTCTTGCAAATCTCTCAAGAGGATTAAACGGGTTCTGGGAACTAAAGCAGACGGTCTGGTTGGTAGTTCATTGGGATACAGCTTGACTGGGAGAAACAACTCTGGAAAAGGAAAACAACGAAATCATGATGATTTGAAACCAGATGTTCACATACAGAGTAATAAAACAAAACAGCAAATGATTTATTATGGGATTAAGCAAAGGGTTGCTATGAATTAATCGCAGTTAATTAATTGCTAAGAAACGAACTGAGTTAATGACTTCTAAATGTTTTATTAGGGCTGATAACGGGATTATTACTCATGTCTTTCCTTTTGGTATTTATCATTGTTTATGCTTTTTATTGGTTCACAGCTGCATGTAAAATCTGCTTTGCTTTGTTGTTTTGTTTAGTGCACACATAATGTAAATTAGCACAGCAGTAAATGTTAATTTTCACAATCCTGATAAAAATCACAACCTTTTCTATGTCTTTTGGCAAGTCAAGTGGTTGAAAGATTGAATTTTGCACCAACTGTCATGACGGTTGTTCTCAGAAGCTCCTGTCATGAAACAGTGAAGATTGTTTTAGTGCACATCAGGACTCGGCTGATTCAACAGCATTACACGATCTGACAGCCGCAGGCGCAGGAGGCAGGGAAAGAACTCGAGGTACCAAGAAACAAAAGAAAGAAAACAGAAGAAGAGAAAATTAAAGAAAATTAAGGGGAAGGGAGCAACTTTCCAAGTCATTAGCAAACAGTCTGTATTAATATTAGCAGCAGTTGCATCAAGGTAAATGCAGAACTTAATTTTAACAACATGGATTAATTGCTATCATAAATTTGCAGAATCAAAAATGCTGCTGACAATCGTTTGACATTTGCATGTCATGGATCTCACAGTGAAACAGTTTCATTCATTTCCATTAACATAATAGATCTCATGGTTGCAAAATGTCTGAAAAAGTTATTAAAACATCGTTAATGCCTGAAAATCTCCCCATTATTTTACAGCAGATAGAACTGATCATAGGAAACGATGAGGCAAAATCTGATGACATCTTTGACCTACTGTAAGTGAATTTCAGTGAGAATTATTGCCTGGCTGGGATCATTTGTTTTAAACAAAACAGGGCTGTATTGTAATCACTACATAATTATTCAGTGAAATGCTTTAACTGAAAACAATCTAAGGGAGTGGCATAAATCCAAAGGCTCCCAACCCGAATGGGATCATGAAAGAAAGCAGAATACTTCTTACAGCAAGGCAGCAAATACAATAGATGACTTTTGTGCTTTAGATATAACCTTAAAAATACTTAACTGCATCACAAACACATGTATTGAACCTTTTAGCATCAATAAAAGATAATAATAGATCAGTCTCAGCAGCAGATCCCTCATTGACAGTGGAGAGTCGATGTTGGTTTGAACATGTAGGAAGGAGATAAAGTTATGATTTTTAAATGAAAAGTGGAAAAGTTGAGTTTATTTAGCCCATGTGTCAAACACCAGGTCAAATCCATAACTATTCAATATAACAATATTTTTATACTGACTATTTTATCAGTGAAATTCAATATGTTTTAATTTGGCTAATTAATAATTATAATTGGTTACTTCATAATTAATGGATTCGTCATTGCTTGCATAATTGCTATACCGACAGTCTCTGACAGAAGCTGTTTCCTTCCTCCTGCCTGAATGTTTTTGTTGTATTTATGGTTTGAACAGATGAAGGTGGTACCTTCAGGTAACTGGAAATCACACCCAAACATGAATCAGTTATGAAAATCAAACATTTCCTTCCTGATATCCTGAATTCTTCTGATTCACTTCTTCTTCTTCACTAGGAAGGAACATCAAATACTTAAATACTCAGGAGTATTTAAAATACATTCACCTTTGACCTTTGTCACATGCTCACACACTCATGACATCATCATCTGGATTTTCCATCTGGACTTTCCGCTATTGTTTAAAGACATCGTAAACAATGTTCTCATTTTGATTGAAGTGATAAAAGCAAAGTATCTCTTTCGTTATTCTGGCATTTAGTAAATAAAAACGAATTGTATGATTTAACGTCAGAAAGTAATGCAGTATAAGCAAAGTTCTTTCGTAAACTGTTTTTTTAAAAATGAACAATGTCAAACACCACCAGCACAATGTTTACAAAAAGAAATGGCTTGTCTCATACCTCTTTATGAAAACTCTTTGCTTTATCTACCTGCAGACTCTTCAGTCTAAGAGTCAGAGTGGGAGAGAAAGACTCAGTTAGACAAAGAGGATAGAAAATGAGAAGTGGAGAAACTAAAGAGATCTGAAGCAAAAACAAGCAGATAGAGAAAGCAAAGGGACGACTTTGCTTCAGTGCTCCTGTTTAAAAAAAAAAAAGATTGATGCCTTGAATCAGTTGCTAGGATACAATAACCTGTGCAGTCTCAATGTGACAGCTGTGTATGTGGATCTCTAATGATGAGACGACCTTGCTGGACCTCAGTCTGCGCGGCCGAGCTCACGTCCTGGCCGTGTTTCTGAGTGCATGCACAGGAGGGAGCTGTTTTCTACAAGTCTGACGCCTGAGAACCAGGCGTGACCTTGAAGGAAATCTGTTGGTTTAGTCATCACGTCAGGTCTGAGTTCGCTTTAACCTCCAGACAAGGCAACCTGAGGCTGCAGACATGGCCAATATGGTTTTATGTCAAACAAATGCAGTTATCAGAAATATCAAGACAGCAGGGCTTGGTGGGTTTCTGCTGAGACCTCTTGGTAACGTTAAACAGTAGGCTGCAGATGTTCCTCTAAACTATTTACTGTAACGTTGGCTCCATAGACAAGGAAATATTTTGCTTAGAGTTTGATATGAAGCCCTTCACAGATGTTTTAAAGTTTAAGATTCATCACTCTGTAGTTACACAGGCTGCGCAGCTAAAACATTTCAGTGTAACAATAGCAGTCATGAAATACAAGACAAGACAAACTGACTCACCATCTGGTTCCAGGGGCTCACAGAATCCACATTTTGTTACACAACAAGCACAAACTTTAATATCTTTTAAAGGGATTGCATGTGGTTGGCCAACACAAAATGTATTCAGAAGTCAAATAATAGAGTCCAAAGTGGGCGGAAAGTTTAAAGCACGATTAGATTATGAGAGAGAATTAATCAGAGATGCAGCCAAGATGCTCTGGAGGAGCTGCAGAGACCCTCAGCTCAGCTGGTTGGATCTGTTGACAGAAGTATTAAAATCTGTGTTGGGAACAGTGAAAAGATGGAAGAGGTGACTTGGTCAGATGAGACCAAAATTACAAAATGTTTCTTTCTACGTCGGTGGGTTTAGGTACTGCATAAAGTTTGTGGTTGTAATAAGGTAGCAAAATGTGAAAAATTTGATGTTGCTTCTGCAAGCTACTGTAATTTACAAATAATCTAGACCGAAAATGTATTTAAACTGAAGAGCGACTGCTGTTTCTACTGCGCAGCGTGTTCTGGCTGTTGAAGTGTTTGGGTTTTCATGTCAGCACATCATATTTAGACTTTTTTACATTAATTATTTTTTTCTGAAATATGCAGCTTTGCGACTTTTTGCTGGCACAGGCTGTAGTGTTTATCTATCATGAGATGTCACATTTTCCATGGAAACACATGTCTGCATGTTGAGGAGGTGGAAACATCCACCGCAGCTGAACCGGAGAATACTGAGCCTGGATGAATTCGATCTTTCAACACGATTATTATTTATTAAACATGGCAGACTGGAAAAACGTTGCTCTTGAAAATGAAACAGAAGATGTCCTGACGAATAGAAGAAGACAGACAAAACTGTTTGCTAGTATATGGGGACAGAAATGGTGACAGTCACATGCAAGTGTGCTGTGTTGAGACTCAGACAGGCAAATAAAAACATGTTTAATATTTTTAATGTTTCGTTTTTGCCAGGGAGACATTTTCCAGCTCAAAGTGAAAGAATGCATCATTATCTCCTCTGATCTTTTGCCAAAGCTGCAAAGCAAAGAGAATGAGCTTGTACATTTTGTTATTCTAGATGACGGTTGGTTGTTCACACTATCCATTTCTCAATGTTAACTGAAGCTGATGCTGCAAAAAAAAATTTAATTATAATCTTTTAATGTGATCTCGCATGAGCAAAAGATTTTTAAAGGCCGTCTGCATAATCTGAAAACAGCAGAGAAACAATAAAGAATTGAAGCTTTTGGAGTTGATATTTGTTGTAGCGAAGGCCAGAATATATCAGACAGATTGTGTCTAAAATATGAATCAACACAATTTATATACAGCTGAATGACATGAAGATATTTTAGAATGGAACTTTAATCTTTTACTTTGTGAAAGCTGCACACTCTGCTCTACAGTTAGTTCTAGGAAATGTTATTTGTGTAAGACATTAACAAATGCACCAATTACAAGCACAATCTGTTAAAATACAGTTTCAATTCAAGGCAGCCTAAAACCACAGCTGAGGTCTGCAGGAACACCAAATAATCCAGAGAACAGAAAATGTTCTATTCCTGTTGCTCCTGCTAGAAGATGAGAGATCTCCTTATTAGCTTTTACTGTAATTTTTAGCTGATATTAGTAGGTTATAGAGTCTGTGTTTTTGCTTTCATCTTTCTTTGTTTATGTTTTCCTTCAATGTACTTAAATGTATACAATAATCAACAATTCTTACAGAAATATTTGCAATTTATTATTATTATTGTGGAACTAAATGGCTTCTTTAAAATAAGACTCATTATTTATGCATCTGCATGCTTTTAAGTTTTCCATCATATTTAATTGAATGCATTTTTCTTTTTCGTGAGTTTTGATGTTTGCATAGCAGCATGAACGCATACCTGCAGCCCTGTGTCATGCTCACTCCATCCTGTTTTGCAGGTTTGTCTTCAGTGAGCTGACATGGTGGCAAAGACAGAAAATGACAGACATGCTGTAATTTGCATCAAGAGTTTCCACAAGTTTTTCTTTTGTTGTTGTTGTAACTAATATGTCTGATAGAGCAAAGCCTGATTTTGTTTGTGAAAGTTTGAATTTTTTCATTCTCAACAACTCGACTGATATTAGGTCCTTCTGATAAATCAGAAAATGCTGCCCTGAAAATGCTGCAACTTTGCTGGATTCTAAGGTTCTCGTTTGCTTTAATGTAGAAACGACAAAAGGAGAAATCTCCATAGAAACTGGTGATGAGCTGAGAACCATCAGTACCATTATTGATCCTCTCACTGCTTTGTCTGAAAACGGGCAAGCTTAGAGCAGTTTACAGACACGATTACCCAAATGCTGCCAGGGGAGTCAGGCACTTACCATTCAGGAGAGGTTTTGTGCATCTCACTGCAGGCTGCAGGCTGCATCGCTGCTCTGGTCTGAATCGCTAACATGCTTCTCTCTTTGGCAACAGATGCTGCAGCCACCTTCCAGTTATCCCCATTGTTTCTTCCTTCTCTTCTACCCAAGCCTCCAGTTTCGCTCCTGCCTCCGTTTGTTTTATTTCATCCGTTTTCTGTTCTGTCCTTGTGTGTGTTCCCCTTTTCCCTGCTCCTTCCTTCCCTGCCTAACTGCTCTTTCACATCTCACGCTCTCTCTCTTTCTCTCTGTGCCCCTGTCTCGCCAGCTGAAGTAATGTCTCTGTTATACGCAGGGCAGAGAGACTATTGCCATTACATTTTAGTTTCTCTGAGGTTATAGAGCTCTGACTTGAGTCTGCAAAGGCTCGCAAAAGTATTCATCCCTCTTCAACCTTTGCTTAAAGATCTGGAAAGTGTGGCATACATATGCAATAATCCCCCTTTAATTCAACTAAATAAAATCCAAATTAACCGCCTTCAGTCGTCACCTCATTGAGTTTACCTGTGTGTAATTTATTCTCACTTTAACTTGAATTGTTCCGTAATTTCATTTGATCACTGGTGTCCAAATCAGACATATTAGAGCAGAGACACATCTAGAACTGGCAGCAAGTCGTCCTTTCAGGAATGTTTAAACCAAGGTTGGGTCTTAAAAAATACTTCAAGCTTTGAACTTCTTTAAAACGTGGTTTGACCCGTCAAAACAGAAAGACTGGTGCAACTCTGAACCTCCCATGAAATGGTCATTCACCTTAAGCAACAGATATTAATCACAGAGGCAGCCAGGAGGGGGGAGGAGCTGCAAAATATGTCAAGAGGGTCAGCATTAGATGAAAACTCTTCCTTTATGGAAGAGAAGCAAGAAGAAAGACACTGCTAAAAGAAACACAAATAATCACAGTTGAGGTCTGTTACAAGCTGCGTTGCATTTAGCCAAAATGCAGCAAAGTATTTTAAGGAATATCGACACTGAGCTATCTGAATATATATGCACAATGACGAAACATGGTGGTGGTAGCATCATGCTTTGGGTAAGCTGGTAAGAGATGAAAGAAAACTTGTGAGAAGCTGCAGAAGTCAAGAGACTGGGGTCAAAGTTCACCTTCCATCAGGTCAACAACCCTGGACGTATGAGACGGATGGATGGACCAGTTAAAGTCTGCACCTAACCAAAATGAGAATTTAAAAACTGATTTTCATAAAACATCGTCTTTGACAAAATTGAGCAGAAATGTCATCTGCAAAGCTGGATCATAAAAAACTAGAAGCTGTAATTATAGCAAAATTATGTGGTGAAATGAAAATATATGCTGCTCTTCAGATTTGCAAAGATTAAAAATCATTTAAATATTCACCACTTTGTGAATATTTTCATCTATCACATAAAATTCTAATAATGTGGGTATTGCGTTTGCAGAGTAGGAGGGAAGCATCATCCATACTTGCTCAAAAACAATCATTATGCAAATTTACAGAAATAATCCCCCCTCTCCTGCAGACTGGGTTTGTGCTTTCATGTAGTTTCATCTTTTTCAATATGCACTTGACCTCCAAAGTCCTTTGATTGTCATATTGGTTGGAACTTCTGAAGCAGACAAAACAAAAGTTTTTTTTTTCATTTTTTTATTTTCTTTGAAAAAAAAGAGGAAAGATGTATCAAATTTGAATGAGTCGCCATGTTGCTATTATGAAATAATTCAGGGATACATGGTTGCTTTGAAATGATGCACTATGTAAAAATATATATTTTTTCTTTTCCTCATACACACACACACGCATGACTTGAAAGTCTCCTCTTCAACCTGAATGTTTTTTGGGGGGATTCGGGATCAGCTCTTTCAACGAGGTTACACCGTAAAGTAGAGAAATGTCTGAAGATTTGGGCGAGAAAAAAAATGGCCAATACTAAACCTCGGTGGAAATGTCTGACTTTACGTTACGACTCCAAACTGACTTTTTCCTGGCAATTTTTAGGTGGGAAAACAAATAGAAAGAGACTTGGCGGTAAAAAAACAAAACGAAAGAAAAGTCAGATTGTGGGTAAGCAAAACGCTCCAGTGGGTATGCAGAAGAAATGATGGACAGACTGAAAGCAGCAAAATTTACATCGTTTAAAAATGCGTAAAAAAGGTCACTGAGCACAAATGATGTTTAGAGCTCTGAAAATTGAAATTCAAAGCAAATTGTTTCAAGCTGACAAAAACACTGAAATATTAAATCTATTTACATCTTATGTACACTGCAACTCATAAATGTTTTACATTAAAAATATTTTAGTCAAATAAACAAACCATAAAAACTGGGCAGACCGGGATTAAGAAATTCAAGAAATGGTTTTAACATTAAAGTCTGAAAATCTGGAGGGCTCCGTTCAGTCCGGTTCCAGCTCTTTGGGTTTTTCAGTCCACAGCTCTATTGTGGCTTCAAAGGTGGCTTCAAACACCGGCTGTGTTTCTCCGTCCTTCAGGGGAGTTTATACTTCAACGAGCGTAACTTGGAACTGACCGGCTGCCACCTCAGACATCTCGATGAGGAAAGCCGACTGGTTGCTGTAGTGTTCGATGATGTTGTCGTCCATGTTGACTAATATTCTACAAGATAATGACCAAAAAAATTTTTAAAAAGCGTTACTTCAGAGGTATTTAAAATAAAATAACATCTAGTTTTTTCCAATCACCACACAGTGCCAGTTCCTATGAATTTTTATTGAAACCAACTTCTGTTTGAGTTCTGGGTAAGAAACAAGAACTCTGTCAGCCTTTAAGTGTTTGACGCTTTAATGCTCTAGTTACCCTGCGGCTCACACACAGCGCCTGCAGGGACTGCGCTGATTGAAGGTAGGAGTAACAAAAAAGGGCGTGAGCGGCTGGGAGAATGTAACCCAACCTGTTAGCTTGGCTGCTTCCCCCACTGATAGCTGCCAGCAAGAGGCAGGAAAAAAACCCAGAGGTGTTCCAGCTCATCTAAGCAGGTCACAAGTTAAGGACTTTATATCTGCCCTGGTGTCACGCAGGAAAACAACCCAGATCAACATAAGTTTAAAACTGATGAGTTTCTGTTTTTCTGACTCGGCTCAGTGTGAAAGACGTTGGAAGCAGGTTTTTATATTTATTCGCAGGGTTCGGTAAAAACGACGTGATCTTTGTCAGATGTGTGGCAGTCGATAACGTGATAGGCAACATTTAGCTTGTGACTGGAAGCCCTGAGGCCTTCATCGGGAAAATGATCGCTTCAAATAGTACTTCCTGATGTTCCAGCGAGATACAGTTGTGAAAACATCAATAAGTCAAACAACTGCTGATGACTCATTTGCACTACCTGTGAAATCTATTCATCTGCTGCCATTTTGTAAAGGAGCGACAATTAAAACATTCCACAGGCTAAGCCAAACCTCCCGACCCGGTCTGTCGACATGAGGAGGATAAAGCTAGAAACGAAGCCCTGAGCATATGCATCCATGTCAGTTTCTTTCACATCACCCAAGATTCAGCAACTCACCCTCGTTTGCATTTTTTGCAGATTCTCCCAATGGTGTCTCTTTGCAAGCCGTACTTTTCGGAAATCTGAGGAGAGAAAGGTGTAGAGATGAAAGCTCTTGCTCAGAGAAAGATAATACACTTGTGAAATGAGGAAGACATAAACAGACGTCTTCATTTGATACTTACAGCTTCTCGCAGGCCTGACAGCGTCGGCGAGCTGAGCATGAGCGCGTCGAACACTTCCTCAACGCCGGTTCTCACGTACAGCAGGACTGACAGAGCAAGAGAGACACAATCAGCACCAAGAAAAACAAAAAGTACTTTTTTATTGAGCGTAGGAATGGGCTGGTTCAGAAAAAACAACTGTTTCAACAAAAGGCAAATCAGCATGGAAATAAAACTGCCCCTCCTGCACCTGTTGCTGGCTTAAAGAAGGGTGCAACACCTTTCCTTAGCTTTTAAAAGAAGAACTAATAGTTGTTTAGAAATACCTCTGACTTTGAAAAACCGAAAGCCATGGTGTCAAAAACAAAAAGAGGTATGACAGCGTGCCAAACATAACTTATTAAGATTTCACTTTTAAGATCTACCACTAGCAAGTCCTGAGCTAACCAATGAAATAACTGGATAGAATAAAATGTTCTATTGAAACTTTTATGCCATTGGTGCAAATTATACACTGCCACCATTTAAATAAATTTTAAATGAATTTCAACAGAATAAATTAGCATTGCTATGTTTGGCTGTTTTAAAAAAACATTTTATTGGCTCTAGTCGCCCGTATTTGACAGATAATTGACAGGAAAGTGGGAAAGCATGCAGCAAAGGTTGCCAGGCCAGGAGTCGAACCTGCAACAGCCGCGTTGAGGCTCGGGCCTCCATCTGTGGGTTATGCTTAACCCCTGTGCCGCCACAGCACAGCCCCGCCCAATAATCTATCTTATGTGGGAAAATCCATGTATCATGATCAAAATAAAGTGTTCCTAATTACATTAATGTGGCAGCATTAACAGGTGTTTTTTCTTAAGGTCATCCCAGCGTGAGAACCTGAGCCAGCCCATGCCTGCATTAGGGTTGTTTTTAATGTTCCACCTCTTTGTGGGTCTTCTCTGCGTGTCTGTTTGTTGGGTGGAGAGCCGTTCTGCTCTCTGTCTGGATACAGCCTCTTCAGACAACTCCTGCCAGCACAAAACCAACAGCCACGTCAGACAAAAGCAACCGGCTGATGGAAAGGTGACAGACATTCACAGGATAATGTTTTTTTTTTTTCTTTTTTGGGGGGGAAAGGTTGTTTTTGCGCTTACCTTTCAATGTCATCCATAGGAGTGGCCTGGTGAGACAATGGAGAAGAAAAGAAAAATCTGATTAGATGCGGCTCCACTGATAAAGACATTTTATCATTGCTCGAAGTGTTTATTTCCCATAACTTCTAGCAGAGCCACTCTGACGTGGACACTGATGAGGAGAGGCAGATAGCACCATCATACCCCTAATCACACCATTCAATCAGATATCCGTTTCTTTTCATGAGTTACTCTAACTTTAGTTATTCTGAATCTAAAATGTTTTGCATTTTAAATGCATTTAGCATGCTAATAACCTGACATTTACTGGCTCCTATGTAAACTCTACAACGTGTCCATGTAAAGCTTAGAGACTGTGGGAAAGCTGGCCTGTCTGAACAGCTCTCTAACCACACTGTTGTTGCAGCACTGATGAGTGAAGGACATGCAAAA